GGACTGAGCACGCACCCGAGGGGCCCCCGTGTTGAGGATCAGCATGGCAGATGTGTTGTTACCTACCCTTACCACCTGGGGGCAGCCCATAAGGGACCATGTGGTCCTCTGTAGCTCAGCTGGTAGAGCACAGCGCTTGTAACGCCAAGTAGTGGGTTCGATCCCCGGGACCACCCATACACAACAACAACAAAAAATTATGCACGCATGACTGTAAGTCGCTTTGGATAAAAGCGTCTGCTAAATGGCATATTATTATTATTATTATTATTATAAGGAAGTCCAGGATCCAGTTGCAGAGGGAGGTGTTTAGTCCCAGGGTCCTTAGCTTAGTGATAAGCTTTGAGGCCACTATGGTGTTGAACGCTGAGCTGTAGTCAATGAATAGCATTCTCACATAGGTGTTCCTCTTGTCCAGGTGGGAAAGGACAGTGTGGATTGCAAAAGAGATTGCATCATCTGTGGATCTGTTGGGGCGGTATCCAAATTGGAGTGGGTCTAGGGTTTCTGGGATAATGGTGTTGATGTGAGCCATGACCAGCCTTTCAAAGCACTTCATGGCTACAGACGTGAGTGCTACGGGTCGGTAGTCATTTAGGCAGGTTATCTTAGTGTCCTTGGGCACAGGGACTATGATGGTCTGCTTGAAACATGTTGGTATTACAGACTCAGTCAGGGACATGTTGAAAATGTCAGTGAAGACACATGCCCGTCCTGGTAATCCGTCTGGCCCTGCGGCCTTGTGAATGTTGACCTGCTTAAAAGTCTTACTCACATCGGCTACGGAGAGCGTGATCACATAGTTATCCGGAACAGCTGATGCTCTCATGCATGCTTCGGTGTTGCTTGCCTCGAAGCGAGCATAGAAGTGATTTAGCTTGTCTGGTAGGCTTGTGTCACTGGGCATCTCGCGGCTGTGTTTCCCTTTGTAGTCTGTAATAGTTTTCAAGCCCTGCCACATCCAACGAGCTTCAGAGCCGGTGTAGTACGATTCAGTCTTAGTCCTGTATTGACTCTTTGCCTGTTTGATGGTTTGTCGGAGGGCATAGCGGGATTTCTTATAAGTGTCCGGGTTAGAGTCCCGCTCCTTGAAAGCGGCAACTCTACCCTTTAGCTCAGTGCGGATTTTGCCTGTAATCCATGGCTTCTGGTTGGGGTATGTACATACGGTCACTGTGGGGAGGACGCTGCACTTATTGATGAAGCCAGTGATCACTGTCAATCAACAAACATTTTTCTATATTGTTCAGACAGTAAAGTCATTGTTTTTTGTGTGTTGTTTTCAACAAGTGAGCCATGAAATAATTTATTTTAAATCATATTAAATGTTGATATTTCTCAGAAAAAATACATTCATACAAGTGGTATCTATAAGAAATTGTGGTATGTTGTCTCACGTTTTCGGAATATTTTTGAATCTGGCCTACTGCCTTTTGACACAACCTCTATCTTTCATCACTGTCATCCTCTCTATCTGTTGAATAAAGTCAGAAAATACCTTACAAATGTAATTTTTTTTAAACAACACATAAAAAAGATAATAACAAACAAAAAAGACAATTCAAATCCTGAAGTACTTTACCCTGAAATGTGTTCCCATTGTTTCGACATCACATGGTCGGCAACTGTCACCAAACTACTTCCCTTAGATGGCTAAATTTCACTCAATTACTTTTTCAATTCATAATTTGTCACTTCCTCCCACATCTGCAATACATTACTGTTGTGTGTAGTTTTTAAATGTGTTACTGCACTTTTACAGTGATACATTGGTAATTGTTAGGGTTAATCAAGATACTATATCAGGGAAATGGCAGTGCAGGTGCATCCTGAGGTAGAAGTCATGCTTGCGTAGCTTTGAACTGTTGCGCCCAACACACATTTTTATAGATGCCTTATAAAAACACATTCTTAAACTCTCTCCCCTATAAATAATTATAATCAGGGACATACTAAATTATTTAGGGGGAGGTGCCCAGAACTGCTATGAGAAACCACATAGAGCAATTTGTTATTTTAGTTAAGGACTCGTTGTTCAATACAATTCTTGAAAAGTGTGTTATATTTATTTTCAAACACAAACCATGAATATGGTCTGTCAATAAAGTTGTGTATGATGAGTAGCGGTGAGTGAATGAGAATATTAAATAATATAATTAATACAACTGTTGACATGGTCTATAATATAAATGAAATAGTGATACAATTCTGATTTTTTTTATCCAGCTCACCATTTATTCAAACCAAATGCAAATCATGTTCATGTGGTTGAAACATTGTATGGTTTCCAGCCACCAGCTGGCTTATGCAAAAGGCGGTTTCTCCTCAGCTGAAACAAGGTAGTGAGAATTAGATCATGAATGTGTATAGGGACAGTCCCTGGGCTACTTAACTGCTTTAGCTGTGTGTCTATCTGAATCATCAGAGATACTAAACTGGGACCCTGAAACACCCAGGTGACAGACTGGAGTTCACCAAGCGTGGTGCCACACAGCTGTGAGGGGCCCAGAGAGGAAGAGAGAGGGGTGGGGTGTGTGAGAGAAACAGACACAACTGAGAAAAGCAGAGCAGGGCCGGTGTGTGTGGGCGTGTGTGTGTGTACTTAAAGATATCTACTACTAGCATTTCTCCTCTGCCAATATAATCCATCCACCTGACAGGTGTGGCATATCAAGAAGCTGATTAAACAGCATGATCGTTACACAGGTGCAGCTTGTGCCGGGAATAATAAAAGGCCACTCTAAAAATGTGCAGTTTTGTCACACAACACAATGCCACAGATCTCATGTTTTGAGGGAGCGTGGAATTGGCATGCTGGCTGCAGAAATGACCAACAGAGCTGTTGCCAGAGAATATAATGTTCATTTCTCTACCATAGAGAATTTGTCAGTACATCCAACCGGCCTCACATCCGCAGACCACGTGTAACCATGCCAGCCCAGGACCTCCACATCCAGCTTCTTCGCCTGTGGATCGTCTGAGGAGGGAGAGGGGCTTTGCTGAGGAGTATTTATGTCTGTAATAAAGCCCTTTTGTGGGGAAAAACTCATTCTGATTGGCTGGGCCTGGCTCCTCAGTGGGTGGGCCTAGCTCCCAAGTGGATGAGCCTATGCCCTCCCAGGCCCACCCATGGCTGCGCCCCTGCCCAGTCATGTGAAATCCATAGATTAGGGCCTAATGCATTTATTTCAATTGACTGATTTCCTTCTATGAACTATAACTCAGTAAAATATTTGAAATTGTTGCATTTATATTTTTGTTCAGTATACATCTACTATTCATACGATTAAATAATGCTGCTTGCAAGATAATGCTGTATACATAAATATATGCAATCCATTGTATTCTGTAAACTAGTCTATGGAAACTAAGACCGTCTGCCCACTTGAACCTGAATTGTATTTCCTTTGAACTTGAGATAGAACAGGCATGCAGTGCAAGTAGCCTAAACCTAATAGTAGGTATTACAGAGGAAGGACAAGTCAAGCTTTGGACTGGGGGCTTATACTAGGCTATGATTAGGCTACAGAGTATTATTATGTGCAAAAATTGCAAGCATAATTTCACTGCACTATAGGCATATACCAGGGGTATTCAAATCTTACCTAATGAGCATACTTCATGTTTTTTGTTCTACCTGGTAATTAATTTCACCCACCTGGTGTCCCAGGTCTAAATCCTTCCCTGATTAGAGGGGAAGAATGAAAAAAAGCAGCGCAACTGGCTTTTGGTCCAGGTTTTAATTTGAGGAGCATATAGTCTATGGATACCCATGTTTCTCTTTTTCCCTCAGACAGGTTTCCAGGCTTGTTTTTCAAGTTCTATCAAAAGTCTATTCTCGTTTCCAGATAAACTAGCCGCGTGGGTAGGAAAACCACTGGCACTCGGAAATGCTCCACCTTCTTCGGGTTCCCCATACCAAGTCAAAGCCACCGGCAAGTTGGAATGTGATTTATCTGAGTTCAGGGACAGGTCTAAGAGTGGCTCGACAGGTCAACATACGACAATTTAGGCTATCTTTGAGCAGAAACTGGTGAGTTTTAACTTTCATTTCTTCAGAAATTTCGACTAATTTAGGTGTCAGTTGATTTATTTTTATCCATCAGCAGCATCCATTTACGGGAAAATTCAGGTAGCACTTCACAACTTCGTCCATCCTGAAAGAGTGCAGTAGCCTAACAGAGGGTTTCCGACGTAAACTGTTTTAATGTGTAACAATTCGATAGTCTCTAGTTTAAATCGTTACAAAGTTGCATCATCCGTGCCTGTCACACTAGCGACATCCCGCCCACGCTTTCACATAATTTCGGAAGGAAATGCAAGTGTTTGCCGCGCTCTTCCAAATGACCCATAATACACACTGCTGTGAGTAATCAACCGTGAGTAACTTGCGGCAAGGCCTAATTTTCACCTCTTTATAGCGCATATCATATAATGTAATCTTACCTTCTTAGCCTACCTTTCCTTTTTGCATTTTCTACACCTGACCTGGGCCTGATGGTTCTAACGATTAAACCGGGCCCTGATGTGCTGGCCAATTCATTACGCCTATTTTGCAACTAAAACGAACATTTTATATTGGACACATTCCGCTAGGTCCCTCCCCGTTCCGTTCTTAACTGGTAAAAGGTTTCCGTTAAAATATTTAATGAATACACCCATGGATTCATCGTGTGTTCTCAATGAGCAAGTAACGCATCTTGACTGAAAATATAAAACGGTGCTCAAGGCTACTTCATGTTGTCGTTTTTAAAAGACCGCTGAAGTTTAGCTAGACAATGGCCAAGATTGCACAAAGCAGCAGCCAAATATGTGTATGTGACCAATAAAATTGTATTTGATTTATGTCTGGAATTTACAACTCTATATTATTATTGGCCAAGTGAATGTGCAATAGCAATGCTCTTCTCTCATCACTGGTTCTTTTGGTTGTGTGGTGTCTCAATCTTATTTTACCAGGTGATATTGTCCACTAACTCACTTTGTGTGTCCATGTCTGTCTGTTGGGTGGACAGAGATGGCCAGCCAGAGCGAGGTGATTGACCGGTTGAGGACTACGTTCCGGTCGGGCGTGACCATTCCAGAGCAGTTCCGTATGACCCAGCTCCAGAACCTTCTCTTCCTGGTCGAAGAAAACGAGCAGCTGATACAAGATGCTCTCCATAAGGACCTCCATAAGGTACTACTATACACTCAGACACACATAGCCTACTATACACCCTATGTCCCCTCTGCCTCCCTCTCTCCACCTCTCATTATTTCCTCTGTTGGTTGCCTCTTGTCCTCTTTCCCTGTCCCTTCTTCTTCACTTCTCCCCTCTTATCTCTGTTTTTCCTGTTCCCTCTCTCCTGCTATTGTTTCACCTTCACCTGTTCAGTCTTTGGTTAACACAAACATTTTGCTACACCCGCTATAACATCTGCTAAACACGTGTATGTGACAAATAACATTTGATTTGATTCTCCCCTCTCTCCCCCCATAGCCCAAGTTTGAGTCAGTCCTGTCAGAGATTCAGATAACGCTGAATGACCTGTACTTCGCCATGGAAAACCTCAGGACCTGGATGCAGCCGGAATACAACATTGGCAAGAATCTGGTATAGATTCCGTCGACATTCACTGTCAACTGTTTGACTCTACCACTTTTTACTATGTCTCAACATGTAAACACACACAATTGGAATATTTTTTACTGACATGCTGCTTCTGTAATAACTGTCCAAGAAAACCCTTTTTCCTCTCCATCCTTTTAGGCCACTAGGATGGACGACTGTTTCATACGCAGGGAACCCTTGGGGGTAGTTTTAATCATCGGGGCGTGGAACTACCCTCTCCATCTTATTCTCTTACCTTTGGTTGCTGCAATTGCTGCAGGTACACATATATCATTTGTATACCTATAGGCTTTGTTAATAATAATGGATTGGATTTATAGCGTTTTTACAGTAGCTCAAAGCATTTTACATCCACCACCAATGTTGCCTTGTCAGTAATGTACAGTACCAGTCATAAGTTTGGACACCTATTCGTTCAAGGGTTTTTCTTTTCTTTTTTACTATTTTCTACATTGTAGAATAATAGTGAAGACATAAATTATGAAATAACACATGGAATCATGTAGTAACCAAAAGTGTTAAACAAATCAAAATATATTTTAGATTCTTCAAATAGCCACCCTTTGCCTTGACAGCTTTGCACACTCTTGGCATTCTCTCAACCAGCTTCACCTGGAATGCTTTTCCAACAGTCTTGAAGGAGTTACCACATATGCTGAGCACTTGTTGGCTGCTTTTCCTTCACTCTGCGGTCCAACTCATCCCAAATCATCTCAATTGGGTTGAGGTTGGGGGATCGTGGAGGCCAGGTCATCTGATGCAGCACTCCATCACTCTCCTTGGTCAAATAGCCCTTACACAGCCTGGAGGTGTGTTGGGTCATTGTCCTGTTGAAAAACAAATGATAGTCCCACTAAGCCCAAACCAGATGGGATGGCGTATCGCTGCAGAGTGCTGTGGTAGCCATGCTGGTTAAGTGTGCCTTGAATTCTAAATAAATCAGTGTCACCAGCACACCTGTGAAGTGAAATGCATTCCAGGTGACTGCCATGAATGTGCAAAGCTGTCATCAAGGCAAAGGAGGCTACTTTGAAGAATCTCAAATATAAAATGTATTTTGATTTAACACTTTTCTGGTTACTACATGATTCCATATGTGTTATTTCATAGTTTTGATGTCTTCACTACTATTGTACAATGTAGAAAATAGTAAAAATAAAGAACCCCTTGAATGAGTAGGTGTGTCCTAACTTTTGACTGGTACTGTATATGTAAAGTGAATGCTTATTCTCTTAGCATGTCATTATTGATTAGGTTTTTGTGACGATGACATGATATTTATTCCATGATGTCATGAACCAGGAAACTGTGCCATTCTGAAGCCGTCAGAGATCTGTCAGGCCACCGAGCAACTCCTGGCAGAACTCCTCCCCAAATACCTGTCTCAGGTAACACACACACACTGCTTTGGTTCCTCCCTGCTTCTTGTGGATCATCAGTGGAATGCAGCACAACTGTGCCATATTTGCTATACTATACCCACCCACCCATTTATCACTACTGTCACTTACTGTTTGTTTTTAATGTTTGAGTTTTGCCATCTGATTATTGCAGGACTGCTATGCAGTACTATGTGGGGGAGCAGAGGACACCAAGTCATTGCTGAATAATAAATTTGACCACATCTTCTACACAGGTAAAGTCAGACAGAGGACTCCCTAGACCAATGATATGTATTACCTCAATTCCTGTTTTTAGTATGTTTTGTGTTTCAAAATGTCGGCTGTATGCCCCTTTTATCACCTTTTCCACCTCTCTCGCACACTCTTGCATACCTTTTCCCCCTCCTCTCCCTTCACCCTCCCCCATCTCCTCCCCAGGTTCCCAGGCAGTAGCCCGCTCCATCCTGCTAGCGGCGGCGCCTCACCTGACCCCCGTCACCCTGGAGCTGGGCGGCAAGAGCCCCTGCTTCATCTATGGCCGTATCGACATCCAGAAGGCTGCCAAGCGCCTGTGCTGGTCCAAGTTCTTCAACACCGGCCAGAGCTGCGTGGCGCCAGACTACCTCCTCTGCACAGCCCAGACCCGGGACGCCCTGCTGCCCGCCCTCCAGGAGACTCTACAGACCTTCTACGGGCTGGACCCCGGGGTGAGCCCAGACATGGGGCGCATCGTCACCCAGCGCCACTGGAGACGCCTGGTGGACATGCTGGGGAAGTCCAAGGGGAAGGTGGTGATCGGAGGGGACAGCCGCGAGGAGGACCGGTATATCGGTGAGTTTGGGTGGGATACAGGAGAGGACTATGAGATGCAGGCAGTGGTGTTGAGTTTGGTTTGTATACTGCTGCCACCTTGTGGGTGTGAATGCAAGTTGAAAGATTGTTGAAATAGGTTTAGGTGGTAGCCTTGCTGTTAAAGTGGCTTGACTTTCAAATATGAGTAAGCGGGCATATAGAAGCTAATGCTTGCTGACCAAGTGGTGTTTCTAGCTCCCACAGTGTTGGTGGATGTGCAGGAGTCAGATGCTCTGATGCAGGAGGAGATCTTTGGCCCCATCCTGCCCATCCTAACCATAGAGTCTCTGGAGGAGGGCATAGACTACATCAACCGCCAAGAGAAACCCCTGGCTCTCTACGTCTTCTCTGACGAGACCTCGGTACATTACAGCACATAGAGGACCTTCATTACAGCACATAGATGTTTTTTCTCATATCTATTTTCTAATGTTATAGTCATGGTGGCCTCCTCCACAGAGCTCCTATAATTTAAAGTTGGTTATGTAGTTCTATGGCCGCCTCTGCCTTCACTGTGGCTCCACTCTTATGGAATAAATGCACGTTCCTCCCCTCTCGCTGTCAGGTGGTGACCACAGTGTTGAACAATACCAGTAGTGGGGGTTTCTGCGGCAATGATGGTATAGTACACATGGCCTTGCCAGGCCTGCCCTTTGGAGGAGTTGGTAAGTGTGTGTCTGACAATGTAAATAAAGTAGTCATTATCAGAAGAAAAGCACTAGACATGGATCTGATCACCGTGTATCATGTTGCCCTGTCATCTACCCTCCAGGTGCCAGTGGGATGGGCAGTTACCACGGCCGCTGGGGCTTTGAGACGTTCAGCCACAGGCGGGGCTGTATGAACCGGAGCTGGTTGCTGGAGAGGGTCAACGTCCTGCGCTACCCGCCCTACAGCGACTACAACCTGGGCTGGTTGCGCTGGGCCACCACCTTCAAGAAGAACAGCTGGGGAGGCTGCTCAGTCATGTGAATGACACTCGGTGCGTGCATGACTGTACTCCCAAAGCCAAATGGGCTTTCCTTAAAGGTCCAATGCAGCCATTTTTATCTCAATATCAAATCATTTTTGGGTAACAGTTAAGTACCTTACTGTGATTTGTTTTCAATTAAAATGGTCAAAAAGCAACAACATTAGCTTCATAGCAAAGAGCATTTTCTCAAGCAAGAATTTTGCTAGGACTGTCTGGGAGTGGAAAACAAGCTGTTATTGGCAGAGGTTTGGAACTCTTTCTTATTGGTCTAGTAACTAATTTACCGCCTGGTGTTGTCACCAGGCATTACAAAACTCCCATCCCACCTAAAAGGGCTGAAATTTCAGGTGGTCTTTTTAAACCGCTCTTACACTAAAAGGGTGTTATCATTTTTCACAGTATTATTCCAACATCATAGTGTGGAAATATATAAAACACAGGAAAATCATGTTTTTGACTGCACTGGGCCTTTTAAAGTATCTGTCCAGTGTTCCAGATTTCTATTAAATAATTTACCTAAAATTAACTGAATTTAATTAAGGATGTTAAAAAACAGCTTTTCTCTGTGCCTTGCTTGGCCTGATTGGAAACAGTGGTTTGGGCATATACTGGTCAAAAAAGCTGACTTGCCAGCTCAGCCAATGAGATGCACAAACACTTGAATATTCAAATTAGCTACCAACTCCACGTGGGGCAGTGCTGTACACACTGCCTAGCAGGCTTGCCTTCTTTTTGGGGGCCTTGGCTGTGAATACGTTTTCCGCCCCGTCCACTAAGGATCCGGATCACATTCTGCATGTTATTTTATGCACACTACGTGACTGCTGCTCACACTCCCCCGTCCTTTACGGTTCTGTCTTTACTCACCCTCTTCTGAACCATGATGATGGTGTCTATCTCTGCCTCATGTTTCTGAACAGCTGAAATAAAATAAAATAACTGAATGACCATTCCCCAAAATATTTATTGAAGGCTATACAACCTTTCTCGGTTGTAACAGATATTTTAGTTGCACAAGCGGGACTCATTCAACAATCAGCGTTTTGTGTGATGTAGGCCCCCCCATACTCAACTGGTGGACCGGATCGGTCGGCCTTTGACCCCTGGTATCATATAAACACAAGACATTAAAGAATGTGTAGAATTGCAGACATTTTGCTTTAAAACAGCTAAACAAATCTTTGCCATGTGTAGAATTGCAGGAAAGTTAGCTTTAAAACTGCAACATTTTCTCTCCGCCAACAAGAGGGGTGTGAACAGTTTTGGGTTGCATGGGTTGTGAGGTGGGGGTCTGTTACTACATCGATAAATTACATTATCCATCCGGACCGTTGCCACCTAGGAAATTTGTGTGACCGGACCTTCTAAAATAGTACTTGAGTACCACTGATGTAGGCTAATCTTTATAGTTACTGCCATATCGTAGTAGTATTGCGAGATAATACAGGAGAAGTACAGTAGTAGAGTTCGTGAAAAAAGAATAACTCCCCACTTGAGTTTTGCATAGGAACTCTCTGCGTTTTAACCACACACAGGCCCTACTAACTACAGCATGAGTAGGCTACCTAGCGGTTCCACCTCTAGTCAGCCTAAGATTCTAGGCAGCCCGAGCATGTGTATCCGGACCGGTAATCAGAGCCTGACAATGGGCGAGTTGGTTTTGCGGCGCCCGGTGCGCTATTATTCCTTATCGTTTGTCAACTACTGCCTGCTACAAATATAAACGCAATGATTTTACTGAGTTACAGTTCATATAAGGAAATTAGTCAATTGAAATAAATTCCTTAGGCCCTAATCTATGGATTTCACATGACTCGAGGGCATTTGCCCACCCACTGGGGAGCCAGGCCCAGCCCATAAGAATGAGTTTTTTCCCCACAAAAGGGCTTTATTATAGACAGAAATATTCTGCAGTTTTATCAGCTGTCCGGGTGGCTGGGCTCAGACGATCCCGCGGGTGAAGAAGCCGGATCTGGAGGTCCTGTGCTGGTTACACGTGGTCTGCGGTTGTGAGGCCGGTTGGACGTACTGCCAAATTCTCTAAAACAACATTGGAGGCAGCTTATGGTAGAGAAATTAACATTAAATTTTCTGGCAACAGCTCTGGTGGACATTCCTGCAGTCAGCATGTCAATTACACGCTCCCTCAACTGTGTGACACAACTGCACATTTAGAGTGGCCTTTTATTGTTCTTGATATGCCACACCTGTCAGGTGGATGGATTATCTTGGCAAAGGATAAATGTTCACTAACAGGGATGTAAACAAATTTGTGCACAATTTGAGCGCAATAAGCTTTTTGTGCATATGAAAAAATGTGGATCTTTTTATTTAATCTCATGAAACATGGGACCAACACTTTACATGTTGCGTTTTAATTTTTGTTCAGTATATTTGTGATCATTTTCATAGTTATGCTGCCATATTGTAGCGAGAGTTGATGAAAAAAGAACTAGCCAATGTTTGCAATGATGAGAAAATAATTGCTATCTTGACTGCCTGTATGTCTTACTTGCCTAAATATACTGTTACAACAGACAAAGTTTGGACGAACATGTTGATCATGTTTTCTGTGTACAACATGATGGCTGCATGTTAGCCTTACACTCTTCCTGAAAAAGAACATAATCGCACTTGAGGCATGGAATGCATAGTTCGAACATGGCCACCATATCTTTAGTGTACAACATGAAGTTTCGTCCTCCATGTCAAGGAGAGGGGGAGCGGCAGTTGGAGCACTAAGCAGAAGCTACATTGCCAAAAGTATGTGGACACCTGCTCGTCAAACATCTCATTCCAAAATCATGGGCATTAATATGCAGTTGGTCCCCCCTTTGCTGCTATAACAGCCTCCACTCTTCTGGGAAGGCTTTCCACTAGATGTTGGAACATTGCTGCGGGAACTTGCTTCCATTCAGCCATGAACATTAGTGAGGTCTGGCACTGATGTTGGGCGATTAGGCCTGGCTCGCAGTCGGCGTTCCAATTCATCCCAAAGGTGTTCGATGGGGTTGAGGTCAGGGCTCCACACTGATCTCAGCAAACCATTTATGTATGGACCTCGTTTTGTGCATGGGGGAATTGTCATGTTGAAACAGGAAAGGGCCTTCCCCAAACTGTTGCCACAAAGTTGGAAGCACAGAATCGTCTAGAATGTTATTGTAGGCGATGGAGATTGCATGGTTGTGTGCTTGATTTTCTACACCTGTCAGCAACGGGTGTGGCTGAAATAGCAGAATCCACTCATTTGAAGGGGTGTCCACATACTTTTGTGTATGTAAGCAGCAGAGTGGACAGCAGCTACAAAAAATTATATATATATTCTTGCCATGGCAAGTTGGGTTCCAGAAAACTGCAGCCACTCCATTTTTGTACCAATACCGAAGGCTACTTACTGCCTGTAGTTAAATGGGATTAAGGATTTGGAAACTCATAATGGAACTACTAGAGCAATTCACTATAACAGCAATAAACATTGAGTTGTGTCCATTTTATCTTTCACTATTTAAATTCCTGATATTTTTGTTATTAGCTAACGTTAGCTACAGCTAGCAAGCAAGTCGCGATTGCTAGGAGCAAAGTTAGCTATCTAGATAGCTGCTGCTGCTACATATATCAACAACAGCTAACTAGGTTTCCTCGGTTCTTGACATCCAACTTTTAGCTACAAACCACAGGATTGAAAATAGGGAATGGCGATGGTTTTTGTGTGGAGGATTTGCTTTCTTGTTGCTCAGCTAGCTAGCGAAGTTACAAACCCCATCATTTGAAATGGAAGTTGTATAGACTGACTCCTTTTTGCTAACACAACCTGTGGATTGCTTGGCTTGTGCGCTGCAGTGTGCCCTCTGAGCCCGTGGCTCCCCTAGTGTACTCTTCCGCTCCCCATCAGAGAATTTGGGAGAAAAGCTGCTGGACCAATCAGACGGGCCTGTCCCGGCTAAGGAGGATGATGTCATTCTCCAAGCAAATTTCAAGCATTTTTTGATACGGTTTGTTTGAGATGGGGTTTAACTGAGCAGGTTTTCTCTCATTTATGCTTTGGCCACAACTACAAGTAAAGGACGAGTCAACAACATTATTTGGGTATGAGCAAACAGAATGAGCTTTTAAAAATGAGATTTTCACCGGACAGTTACTTTAATGCATTTAGTGCATGACCTTTGCATTAACTGTTACATTAATCAGCTTGCTACCTGACCATTTACTCTCAGAAGAGTAATTTTTAAAGTGGTGTTTTATAGTATAATGTATTGCTGTCAACAAATGTTACTATCAATGACACTGTCACATCTTGGACAATGCAGTGTTTGCTGCTCATTTCTTATCAACTGGACTGAGTTCAACACACATTTTTATTTTTTTGTTACTTTTGTCCCGGTACTTGTTTGGTTTCATTGGTCTGTGGTTTCTTTCATGGGCACACGCCACACAAGGTTTCTCCATTAACTGTTTGTCACAAGTCAGTTTCAATGTGCCTGTTTGGTTTGAGTACTTGAAAAGAAGGCTGTATTTGGATAGGGCCATTGACTCAGCAGAAAGGAGCTGTGAGAAAAGGGGAAAGAGGTGCTACCTGTGCTTCTGGTTTAACCAGGTTATTCAAGGCAGGGACACAGGCTGCATCTCAATAGTCTTGATTGGCTTCCTTCCCTTATCTCCTCTCCATTACAATGATCTGGAAAAATGAAGAAAGGTGAAAGTAATGTGGTAGATGCCAATGGCTTTCACCTGTCCTGTTCTTTCAAGTCTTTGCAGTTAAAGGGAAGGAGAGCCACTATTGCGATCCACCCAGGGTGTGGTTTCAGTTCTGTGTGTTCACTTCTGCTTCCTCCACTTGTCTTGCTTTGACCCATCTTATCAGATCAGTATATATGAGTGGAAGCCACTATATTGAAATGTTTCCCCAGCTTTTTAAATGGACTGGCTACCAGGGTCTGGGGAGCTAAAGGGTTTTTAGCATTGTTGCACAAGACCTGCTTTGTTTAACATAGTTCTTCACATTACGGTATTATGTAACAATTTTACTGGGTTTTGTTAGATGCTGTATGTATTGTGTATTGTATAATATTGTATGATGTTAGGTGGTGGATGGATGTTTTTTGTTAATTTTATAAAGTTATTTGTCCAGAAGGCATGTTTAACTAATAAAACCTTACTTTACATGAATACATTTATTGGCTTATACTTTAAGTTTGTTAAAGTAGTGTCAATTGCACTGTTATTTGCCCCATTCACCCTCATCCCAGCATGTTGCTTTTCTATGCAAGTCATTGCATCATTAGTGCTTTACTCAATTACTTTCTGAACATACAGAATATTAGGTAATGCTATTGAATAATGGTAAGGTGACTGAAAAAAGTTTGTCAATGTCATGGAGACAAAAAAATAAAATATTTTCAATTTCCATCATGAAAACGCATAGAAACTCTTACAAGACGGGCTTTCTTTATCTCCAAAATCCCTCAAGTCACATCATAGAATCTGGGCTGACAGAGTGAGGCACTCTATAGGCTTACACAAGTCACGTGTATATTGCAAAAGAAAACAGTTCAGTTGATCTCATCACTGAAGCAATCAATGACGTTACTTGTTACAGACTGGTGAATCACACATTGATACCAATTTGTTTTTGTTTTTTACATCAGGGCCTGTATTCATAACACATCTAAGAGTAGGAGTGCTGATCTAGGATCAGTTTTGCCTTGTCTGTCATTATGAATAAGATTAGAGGAACTGATCCTAGATCAGCACTCCTAGTCTTAGATGCTTTATGAATACAGGCCCAGGTTGGGTATTTTATTCCAGTTTATGAAAATCAACATCACAACTGTCATGGCTAGTACAAATGGGGGCTGTATTGCTTCCTTCACTGTAGAGATATGCAGTCTCATTAGTGTTTGTGGTAAATACAGTGTACATATGGGGGACAGTACAAATCTGAGATTGGTCAAAAATTATAAAACTCTTCAATGTAAATCTTCAAATACTGCTGCATTTTTCCGCCTCCTCTCCCAGAGGTTTTTCCAGCACAGAGGTATACAACGCAGGTCCTCTGTTCCAAACCGACCCCTAGCTCCTATCCACCCAGGGCACTTCTGTAGATCTCAAAGGATTGGATAGGTATAAGCAATATGGTAATAGCTCCACTTTGCCCTCTGGTAGGCTACCCTGTAACTTCTCCCATTTAGTATCCACTCCAATGCATTTGGATTTACAGAAGTGCGGCATATTGCCTGCAGCTGTCCAATCCATTCCGATCTACAGAAGTGCCTATAGGTGGGTAGAAGCTAGGGGATGGCGTGGGACTGTTTCCTGGTAGTCTCAGAGGTCAGGGTTCGGGTTTGTATGAGGAGGGGGGGTTTGTCCCTGGAGGTCCCTGCTCGGTGGCGGAGGTTTGGGAGGCTGGCGAGGGGCAGGTGGCGGCAGGGGGCTCCTTCTGGACCAGCTCTGGGTCGTCCTGGCCTGCCTGGGGAGGATGCACCAACACTCGGTCGATGATCCCAAAGTCCTGTGCCTCAATAGGGCTCATGTAACGATCTCTCTCCATCACACCCTCTGGGAGAAAGAAAACAGGAGGGAATCATTTTGTGGTTACGAGTTTTGGTGAAAATGTGCGACACATTGGTGGTGGATGAGGTGAGTTCACTCCTCTCACATTATTACAAAGTGCTTTGAGTGAGGAAGGACTCAGTCAATCATCAAATCACCTAACCTTGAATTAGCGCTTGAATTTAGTTAGCGGAGTCACTAAGTGATAGGCCTTGTCAACATGGGACTCAGAGGCTATGGAACATTTTCCATCAAAAAAGACATTTCAAAGTAAGTATTTTGAGATTTTTTCTTGGAATATTGAAATGTTGAATATTGGGATGTATTTGGAAATAAACTTGGAAAGTACTGGCATGTATTAGAAAATACTCAAATACAAAGACAAGTCTATTTTCAAATATATAATTTCATGCATTTGAACCCAGGTCTGTTTGGTCCTAGGGGTATTTGAAATGAGGCTGAGGCTGCACGATCGAATCAAATTGCCCCGTTCCACTCCTGTCCTGCCCCCCTGGACGCCTCTTTGCCAGAGCTAAACAACCGAATCACGTCTCTGCCTCATATTTATGAACAGCTGAAATAAAACCCCTGCAGCGACAAACTAACATTCCCTAATTTGGGATGTAGGCTATAACTTTCTCTGTCGGTTGTAACTAAGGATATTGCAGTAGCACAAACATAAGCAGGAGGCAGTCTACACATTGCATTGGGGCAAAACAACTTTCGCTTCTCAATGATCAAGCAACGCCACACAATTTGATACAGCACATAATTGAAATTTGCCAGAGTTGCCTGTTGTACCTGTGTACAGCCTACAGTTCTGCGCATGGTAACCAGAGTTTGGCAATGGCCTTGTTTGTAAAGTAGAGAATCCCACATGCCCAGAAGGTTTGGTTGTTTAGCTATCAAAAGGAGGTGTCCAGAGAATTCAGCCACGCAGCCACTCCGTTGAAATAATGTATTTGGAAATAAGTATTTGAAATTAGTTTTGGCTATTTATAGGAAGTTATAAGAAAATATTTTCAGATACTTCAAATGGAAGTAGCTGATTTGGCCACATTATTTGAAAATACTCTAATACACAGAAAATAAGTATTTAAATAAAAAATAATTAAATAAGCATGTATTTGAACCCAGGTCTGTTTTCAATATTGGGAACTTTTGTCTGCTTTTCCCTCTGAGCCAGACTCTACTGAACTGGATGCCTTAGCTACTTACCTATATGTGTCAACAGCTGGCCAGTGTGTTTAGCATAGAGTTGATTGATCTGTTTCTTTAGCTTCATGATCTCCTCAGCCTGAATGGCGATGTCTGTAGCCTGACCCTAATAACACACAGGAGAGAGAAGAGAGATGTTATGTAAAGGCAACTGACAACTGTTATTTATCAGCTGAGGAGTCAAAATACTGAACTCATATTTACATGCCCAATAGCCTATGGACAATTACAGGTCTGGCTTTTGATGGCAACACAAGCTAACCAACCAACAGTTGTACCAGGTTCTCTAACCCCCACCATCCCCTTACCTGTCGGACTTCACCCTGCCCCCCCCCCTCCCCTATTCCTGTTGCCTCCCTGGTCCCATTACCACTTGCCCCCCTGCCCCTTTCCCTCCTTACCCTGGCCCCTCCAGAGGGCTGGTGCACCATGATGCGGGCGTTGGGCAGAGAGTGCCTCATGCCGGCCGTGCCTGCAGCCAGAAGAAGACTGCCCATGCTGGCTGCCTGGCCCACACACCACGTGGAGATGGGGTTGAGGATGTACTGCATGGTGTCGTAGATGGCCAGGCCTGCAGTCACAACACCGCCTGGGGGGGGGGGGGAGGAGGATAGGAACATCAAGGTGAATCAGGATTGATGGTTTGTTGGATTTAGTTCATGAATGGTTCTTCTCCCAGACTTTTCTAATCTCTCCTTAAAGCTGGAATCCATAGCGGTGAAACTGCCACGTCCGTTTGCGATATTACAAAGACATTACTTCAACACTTTTTTTTCTCTTCCTCTCACATCATTGCACGCACAATAGAACAGAGTAATTTTTTTTACCATTGATGCTGGATGCTCATTTCCTCAAAACAATAACAAATGCATCTGGGGCTGTTGCGCCTATCACAGATCTCAGCTTTAACGTTGAAACCTATGATGTTCATTTTAAGTCAAGGTAAAAATATTCTGAATGCACCCTTTATCTCCTATCACTGTCATCTGATCCATCTGTCCCTTTTGCGTTCTCTCCCCTCCAATCAAGAAACGTGCTTTTTACCAAGTAACCCATCCCTATTTCGCCAACCATCCCCTGCCACCACCATCTGTTCCTCCACCATTTTTGTGGGAGGTCCCCCTCCTCTCCTTCCCTCTTTCACTCTTCTCTTACCAGGACTGTTGATGTACATGTGAATGGGTTTGTTGTTGCTCTCTGACTGCAGAAAGAGCAGCTGAGCAATAACCAGACTGGCCACAGAGTCATCAATCTGAAAAAAGGCAGAGAGAGGGAGAGGAGAGAGATTAACAAATGAATCTTAAATGCAACAGCTGGAACTCCGATTGTGTTTACATGTCCTAATGTAACCGGTGTGAAATGGCTAACTAGTTAGCAGTGCGCGCTAGTAGCGTTTCAATCGGTGGCGTCACTCACTGAGACCTTGAAGTAGTTGTTTCCCTTGCTCTGTAAGGGCCGCGGCTTTTGTTTAGCGATGGGTAACGGTGCTTCGAGGGTGACTGTTGTCGATGTGTGTCGATTATGACCTTACGCCGATAAAGATAAGCAGAGTAAGGTGTATACATGTGTCATGACTAATGCCATACTCGGCCTACTGCCATAATCAGTTTCATATCGAATTATTAGTGTGCATGTAAACATATTCAATTTCTCCTGGTGTAGGTGTAGGGTTTGAATCCCAACACATTACACAGACAGTGACACACAGCTAGACTTACCGGCCCCATTACACAGACAGTGACACACAGCGAGACTTACCGGCCCCATTACACAGACAGTGACACACAGCTAGACTTACCGGCCCCATTACACAGACAGTGACACACAGCGAGACTTACCGGCCCCATTACACAGACAGTGACACACAGCGAGACTTACCGGCCCCATTACACAGACAGTGACACACAACTAGACTTACCGGCCCCATTACACAGATGATCCTCTCCCTTAGCAGACGAGAGTAGATGTCATATGCCCGCTCTCCTCGACCCTAAGAAAGAAGAGAAAGACAGGGAAAAAGAAAGCAAGAGGAAGATCTTTGAACATTGGAAAGCAGTTAGACCAGCTAGGACCAGGAACTGACAGCTGAACAACTCATTTTGAAACCGTTCCAAACCAAGAGTGAATCAGGTTGCATAGAAATGTTGCAGTCCTAAATAGAACTCTGTTGGGGTTCCAATTCTTACCGTCTGTTCCACAACGATAGGTATGAGAGGACTCCTCCATTGAGCACTGTGGTGGATGGTCCTGTGTGACTTTAAAGCTGTCACTCCACATTGTAACACCCTCTAAGAGAGAGGGATGGAGAGAAGGGAGAAAGAGAGTTATTGACATTTGTCTCTGTAAGGTCTTAAACATGCCCAACACGGTTTACATTTATGTTATTTCAATAATTCTATATGGAAAAGTTCCATTCAGAGATAGCATGGTTATTTTTTTCCAACCCTGGCCTCTTGAAGTGTGTTCAAGACAAAGCTATCAAATGTATTATGATCTTACTCTGAACATCACACACATTTTTTTCTTGCCACTCCCAAGTAGAAAATGTTACAGTTGCTCATGATTTCACATTAACAGCTAGGAAAATGTTGACCGTTGTTTTTCTTTAAAAAGTGTCGCCAGATTTAGCTAGCTGAAGATGGGAATGTGTTAGGTTAGCTACACAATTTTGGTCAAGTTACACAAGTGTGGCTAGCTAGCTCACTGGCTATTTCATCGATGTAAACTATTCACCTGAGGCGAGAATGCACCTCTGAGAAGGCAAATAACAATTGCACATTGTAATCCCTATAGTTTACAGCACAAACGATGCATTTCCAAAAGGTGTTTTCACTCTTTCTCTCCAATACTTACTCGTATAAGCATTGTGATGTCTTGTAATGTGCAATCCCCTCTGTTTGACCCCAATTCAACCGGAAACAATTATATTTTGAGCGTTGAACTGTTCCTGAAGTTGCTGAGCAATATTCCTCTGTCATGTGACGAGTTTGTGTTTAAAGCCTCGAATATGTAGTTACTGGCTGTTGGCGCTAGATGGAAATCGTGCACAAGAAAAACCCACTAATTTAATACTATTGTTTATTGTTGCCTTGATAATTCAATACATTTCAGATATCAAATATTTGTAAAATACAACAGCCTACTTGTTATATAAATATACTATTGAATAATGTGATGAATAATGCTCAACATTCAATTTCATTAAAAGACAGAAATGTGTGTTGAAGAGCCAAAACTCGTGACATTGTAGATGGTGGTCTGGTCTCTATAAATAAACAAATGAAAAAAGGAGCACATGACGGGACTTTATTTCGCTAATGAAATCCTCGTGGTTCTAGGGTTGTTTTGAGAAAGGCTCTTTATACAATTGAGTTTTATAAAACAGCAATCGAGAGCCAAGTACATTTACTTCACCATGCCAACTGTAGGCCTAGAAACCAGTGCATTATTGGCGACACAATATAAAACCCAAAGGAACATTACATTTTCTGAAAATAGCCCATTCATTTGTTTAACTGACTGATCTATCTCTCTCTCTCTCTCTCTCTCTCTCTCTCTCTCTCTCTCTCTCTCTCTCTCTCTCTCTCTCTCTCTCTATGCACACTACTGGTCAAAAGTTTGGGGTCACTTAGAAACTTCCTTGTTTTCCATGAAAACATACATGAAATGAATTTGAATAGGAAATATATCAAAATGAATAGGAAATGTAGTCATTGACAAGGTTAGAAATAATGATTTTTAATTGAAATAATAATTGTGTCCTTCAAACATTGCTTTCGTCAAAGAATCCTCCAGTAATCCTGCAGTAATTACAGCCTTGCAGACCTTTGGCATTCTAGTTGTCAATTTGTTGAGGTAATCTGAATAGATTTCACCCCATGCTTTCTGAAGCACCTCCCACAAGTTGGATTGGCTTGATGGGCACTTCTTACGTACCATACGGTCAAGCTGCTCCCACAACAGCTCAATAGGGTTGAGATCCGGTGACTGTGCTGGCCACTCCATTATAGACAGAATACCAGCTGACTGCTTCTTCCCCAAATAGTTATTGCATAGTTTGGAGCTGTGCTTTGGGTCATTGTCCTGTTGTAGGAGGAAATTGGCTCCAATCAAGCGCCGTCCACAGGGTATGGCATGGCGTTGCAAAATGGAGTGATAGCCTTCCTTCTTCAAGATCCCTTTTACCCTGTACAAATCTCCCACTTTACCACCACCAAAGCACCCCCAGACCATCACATTGCCTCCACCATGCTTGACAGATGACATCAAGCACTCCTCCAGCATCTTTTCATTTGGTCTGCGTCTCACAAATGTTCTTCTTTGTGATCCGAACACCTCAAACTTCGATTCGTCTGTCCATAACACTTTTTTCCAATCTTCCTCTGTCCAGTGTCTGTGTTCTTTTGCCCATCTTAATCTTTTCTTTTTATTGGCCAGTCTGAGATATGGCTTTTCTTTGCAACTCTGCCTAGAAGGTCAGCAACCCGGAGTCGCCTCTTCACTGTTGACATTGAGACTGGTGTTTTGCGGGTACTATTTCATGAAGCTGCCAGTTGAGGACATGTGAGGCATCCGTTTCTCAAATTAGACACTCTAATGTATTTGTCCTCTTGCTCAGTTGTGCACTGGGGCCTCCCACTCCTCTTTCTATTCTGGTTAGAGCCAGTTTGCGCTGTTCTGTGAAGGGAGTAGTACACAGCGTTATACGAGATCTTCAGTTTCTTGGCAATTTCTTGCATGGAATAGCCTTCATTTTCAGAAGAAAGTTATTTGTTTCTGGCCATTTTGAGCCTGTAATCGAACCCACAATTGGTTGCTCCAGATACTCAACTAGTCTCAAGAAGGCCAGTTTGGTTGCTTATTTAATCAGAACAACAGTTTTAAGCTGTGCTAACATAATTGCAAAAGGGTTTTCTAATGATCAATTAGCCTTTTAAAATGATAAACCTGGATTAGCAAACACAACATGCCATTGGAACACAGGACTGATGGTTGCTGATAATGGGCCTATGTAGATATTCCATAAAAAATCAGCCGTTTCCAGCTACAATAGCCATTTACAACATTAACAATGTCTACATCGTATTTCTGATCAATTTGATGTTTTTTTTCTTTTCTTTCGAAAACAAGGAAATGTATATGTGACCCCAAACTTTTGAACAGTAGTGTTGAACAGCAGCTCTGTCGCAGCTGGCCGCGACCGGGAGACTCATGGGCGGCGCACAATTGGCCCAGCGTCGTCCAAGGTAGGGGAGGAAATGGCCGGCAGGGATGTAGCTCAGTTGATAGAGCATAGCGTTTGCAATGCCAGGGTTGTGGGTTCGATTCCCACGGGGGGCCAGTATGAAAAAAATAAAATAGATATATGTATTCACTAACTGTAAGTCGCTCTGGATAAGAGCGTCTACTAAAATGTAAATGTATATATATTTACAGTGGCTTGCGAAATATTCACCCCCACCCCATGGCATTTTTCCTATCTTGTTGCCTTACAACCTGGAATTAAAATAGATTTTTTGGGGGTTTGTATCATTTGATTTACACAACATGCCTACCACTTTGAAGATGCAAAATATTATTTATTGTGAAACAAACAAGAAATAAGACCAAAAATAAGAAAACTTGAGCGTGCATAACTATTCACCCCCCCCCCCCCCCCCCCCCCCCGAAGTCAATACTTTGTAGAGCCACCTTTTGCAGCAATTACAGCTGCAGGTCTCTTGGGGTATGTCTCTATAAACTTGGCACATCTAGCCACTGGGATTTTTGCCCATTCTTCAAGGCAAAACTGCTCCAGCTCCTTCAAGTTGGATGGGTTTCGCTGGTGTACAGCAATCTTTAAGTCATACCACAGATTGTCAATTGGATTGAGGTCTGGGCTTTGACTAGGCCATTCCAATACATTTAAATGTTTCCCCTTAAACCACTCAAGTGTTGCTTTAGCAGTATGCTTAGGGTCATTGTCCTGCTGGAAGGTGAACCTCCGTCCCAGTCTCAAATCTCTGGAAGACTGAAACAGGTTTCCCTCAAGAATTTCCCTGTATTTAGCGCCATTCATCATTCCTTGAATTCTGACCAGTTTCCCAGTCCCTGCCGATGAAAAACATCCCCACAGCATGATGCTGCCACCACCATGCTTCACTGTGGGGATGGTGTTCTCGAGTGATGAGAGGTGTTGGGTTTGCGCCAGACATACCGTTTTCTTGATGGACAAAAAGCTCAATTTTAGTCTCATCTGACCAGAGTACCTTCTTCCATATGTTTCGGAAGTCTCCCACATGCCTTTTGGCAAACACCAAACGTGTTTGCTTATTTTTTTCTTTAAGCAATGACTTTTTTCTGGCCACTCTTCCGTAAAGCCCAGCTCTGTGGAGTGTACGGCTTAAAGTGGTCCTATGGACAGATACTCTAATCTCCGCTGTGGAGCTTTGCAGCTCCTTCAGGGTTATCTTTGGTCTCTTTGTTGCCTCTCTGATTAATGCCCTCCTTGCCTGGTCCGTGAGTTTTGGTGGGCGGCCCTCTCTTGGCAGGTTTGTTGTGGTGCCATATTCTTTCCATTTTTTAATAATGGATTTAAATGGTGCTCCGTGGGATGTTCAAAATTTCAGATATTTTTTTATAACCCAACACTGATCTGTACTTCTCCACAACTTTGTTCCTGACCTGTTTGGAGTGCCCCTTGCTTAGTGGTGTTGCAGACTCTTGGGCCTTTCAGAACAGGTGTATATATACTGAGATCATGTGACACTTAGATTGCACACAGGTGGACTTTATTTAACTAATTATGTGACTTCTGAAGGTAATTGGTTGCACAGATCTTATTTAGGGGCTTCATAGCAAAGGGGGTGAATACATATGCACGCACCACATTTCCGTGATTTTTTTTTTGCATTTTTGAAACAAGTTTTTTTTTTTCATTTCACTTCACCAATTTGGACTATTTTGTGTATGTCCATTACATGAAATCCAAATAAAAATCCATTTAAATTACAGGTTGTAATGCAACAAAATAGGACAAACGCCAAGGGGGATGAATACGTTTGCAAGGCACTGTATATATATATATATATATATATATATATATATATATATATATATATATATATATATATATATATATACATATATATACTACCAGTCAAAAGTTTGGACACACCTACTCATTCAAGGGTTTTTCTTTATTTTTACAATTTTTTACATTGTATAATAATAGTGAAGACATCAAAAATATGACATTTTACATTTTAGTCATTTATCAGACACTCTTATCCAGAGCGACTTACAGTTAGTGAGTGCATACATTTTCATAATAACACATATGGAATCATGTAGTAACCAAAAAAGTGTTAATCAAATCAAAACATCTTTTATATTTGAGATTCTTCAAATAGCCACCCTTTGCCTTGATGACAGCTTTGCACACTCTTGGCATTCTCTCAACCAGCTTCATGAGGTAGTTACCTGGAATGCATTTCAATTAATAGGTGTACCTTCTTAAAAGTTCATTTGTGGAATTTCTTTCCTTCTTGAGCCAATCAGTTGTGTTGTGACAAGGTAGGGGTGTATACAGAAGATAGCCCTATTTGGTAAAAGACCAAGTCCATATTATGGCAAGAACAGCTCAAATAAGCAAAGAGAAACGACAGTCCATCATTACTTTAAGACATGAAGTTCAGTCAATAAGGAACATTTCAAGAACTTTTAACGTTTTTTCAAGTGCAGTCGCAAAAACCATCAAGCGCTATGATGAAACTGGCTCTCATGAGGACCGCCACAGGAATGGAAGACCCAGAGTTACCTCTGCTGCAGAGGATAAGTTCATTAGAGTTACCAGCCTCAGAAATTGCAGCCCAAATAAATGCTTCACAGAGTTGAAGTAACAGACACATCTCAACATCAACTGTTCAGAGGGGACTGTGTGAATCAAGCCTTCATGGTCGAATTGCTTCAAAGAAACCACTACTAATGGACACGAATAATAAGAAGAGACCTGCTTGGGCAAAGAAACACGAGCAATGGACATTAGACCGGTGGAAATGTGTACTCTGGTCTGGAGTCCAAATTGGAGATTTTTGGTTCCAAACGCCATGTCTTTGTGAGACGCAGTGTGGGTGAACGGATGAGGACAATGACCCAACAGGACAATGACCCAACACACCTCCAGGCTGTGTAAGGGCTATTATACTAAGAAGGAGAGTGATGGAGTGCTGCATCAGATGACCTGGCCTCCACAATCCCCCAACCTGAACTCAATTGAGATGGTTTGGGATGAGTTGGACGGCAGAGTGAAGGAAAAGCAGCCAACAAGTGCTTAGCATATGTGGGAACTCCTTCAAGACTGTTGGAAAAGCATTCCAGGTGAAGCTGGTTGAGAGAATGCCAAGAGTGTGGAAAGCTGTCATCAAGGCAAGGGGTGGCTATTTGAAGAATCTCAAATATAAAATATATTTCCATTTGTTTAACACTTTTTTGGTTACTACATGATTCCATATGTGTTATTTCATAGTTTTGATGTCTTCACTATTATTCTACAATGTAGAAAATAGTAAAAATAAAGAAAAACCAAACTTTTGACTGGTACTGTATAAATATATATATATATTACATGTACACATAAGTGCCTCTCTTTACTGATAACTATATTTAATTAGGGGCCATTACGAAAGCAGTGGGGAGAACATGGCGCAAAAAAAGCGGTGCGTTTTTTCAGAGAGAGGGGGAGCACTTGAGTCGCATTGGCCTCGTCAGAAAATCTCGTTCTTTCAAGTGATAGCCAGACACTTTCACTTGGCCGTTGGACAGACCTCGCAGACATGTCGAATAACAGCGCAAACAGCAGCAACTTGGTTATCGCTCAGAAGGTGGTAAAACAACTTCGGCTAGAGGCGAGTGTTCGCAGGATCAAGGTAAATAAATGACATCCAGAAAGACTGATAAAAAACTGTTCTGCATTGGGTGTGACTGACTGACTTGTCAACATGGCCCTTTAGTAACTAGTGAAAAGCTATATTTTATGTAAAGTTTCACTATTTTATGGAAAACAACGCGTTATTTTTGCTATTTCCAGGCCATTTGTTACAAAATGCTGTTCCATTGGAATTATGTCAGCTGTTTTCAGAATTGTAACTAACTGCAGCCGTGTCCAGTAGACTAGAGGAGTAGCCTGTAAATTGACGTGCTCAATCGAGCGCCGCCTTTCAACTGTCATGTTGAGTCACGAAAGCCAATTAAACACTTTGTTACCTAATGAAGAATGTAAGATTATAACGTAGTTCTAGTCTTGCTGTATGCATAGGGCGTTATGGCACATTTAGGCTACTCCTCGGCTCTTCACTTAGTTTAACACCGTTTTGAATGGATATATTTAGATGTTAACGATTTGCTGTTAATTATGATCTAATTTAATAATGTGAAATATGATGATTTCCTGCTGTAGTCTGTAGTCCGGAGAAAGCAAACAGCTCGTAGGCTAGTTTCCGCGCTGGTGCAGCACAGTGGTGGCCTTTGTTGATTGTGGCTGTGACAGTAGTGCGATTGTTGGCCGAATTACTCTTTTAGAGATTAGTCCGCAGACATTAACTACTCTGGAGCACTCAAGCAAGCTGTGCTTTGAAGGACATATGAGAATGCAGGAAAAATATAGGGTGACTTGTATCTATAGCCTATGAAATATTATCAACTAACTAGAGAAATAACGAACTCAATGTATAGCCCATTTGTGACTTTGTCCTAAAGTGCCATCTTGTGTTAATGGGGACAATGTTGTAGACTTCACCCATGAAACAAGCCCTCTAGTAAAGTACCAAATTATTATGCTATTGCTGAGTCAAGTTCCAGGTAGGAACTTTAGGAAAATAGCTGCTCATTTCTCAGATTCTCTCGCAGTGTGAGCTTGGACCATATTACTGTAGGTTCATTAGACTGAGTATCAGTAGGAGTATTGTGGCAGAGTGAAAGGGTTGGCCTCTCTATTTATTGATGCGTGGACCAGGTCTCTCTTGAAAAGCTGCATTAAAGCAAGTAGAAGTTAAGTAGAACAGGATTGATCTCAATTTACTTGGAACTTCATTATAGAAAATGCTGTCATTGTCAATGATGACTCATTCTCATGAATGCCCATGACATCTATATGTCATCTTTACAACAGTGTTATGTAGCCCTTATGACACGGAATTAAAGTATAATGGAACTGACAGTGTCTCTCTGTTTCCACTCTCAGGTGTCCCAGGCAGCAACGGACCTGAAGACCTTCTGCCTGCAGAACGCCCATAAAGACCCTCTTCTCATAGGGGTGCCCTCCAGCGACAACCCCTTCAGACCCCCCAAGTCCTGCGCCCTCTTCTGAGGTGAGATGACAGTCTGATGATATGCTAGAGTAGGCTTCAACTAACTCCCTCTCGATCTCTCTCTTCTGTCTCTTTCTCTCTCACACACACACACGTGCATGCACGCACACACACACACACACACACACATTTTCTCTCTGTTTCTTTCTGTCCTTCTTTCTTTCTCTACCTTCCTCTCTACCCCTGTTCCTCACTCTCCTTTTCTCTCTCTGTTTGCTAACCTTTGACTTTATGGCTTTGACTGTTGCAGAGAGAACGTAACCCATAGCAGCCATATCTCGTCTAACTGCTGTGCCTGTGATCTGATCAGACTCCATGCTTTCTCACTGCAGGCAATGGTGATGATGGAGGCTCGTAAAACACGTCTGAACATTCCCTAAGGATGCCTTTCTTCTCCCAGCCCCTCGGCGTCTCCTACACCCTACCCCACCACGTCCTGTCACTGAAGACTCAAGGCCAGAACACAATCACAAGCATTTAACCCTATGCTGAGTGAGTTTTGACATGTGTTCTGTTCTGGATTTCTACAGCTAAATAAGGATAACATTTGCAGTCTTTTGTGTGTTGAGATCATTAGAATGGCAGCACTCCTTAAAGTATAAATATGGCAGTCTCAACCCAACTCTCCCTGTAGTCTCTACATTTTTGTTACTTTTCTTTTACTCAAAGTGAAATTGAACTGTATTAGGTTTTACACATTGTTGTTAGCGAGTCTTTTAAAGTGGTTGACCAAGTGCCATTACATGAGTATAGCCTACAGTATCATTGTTGTGAAGCAATGTTCAACACACTGCAAGATATTACACCAGAGTTTGATCTCAGAGCTTGTTTTTCAAAATGGTGCTCATTTGGTTGCAAACACAATGCAAGGTTCCACACAAACTCACCTTAACACTGTCACTGTGATTTTTGTCAGATGAAATTGTGAAGCATTTCGATAAGTGTCATTTATGATTCTCTGCTAAGAGTGTGGTGACTCCATGAGCGTCTCAAGAGAATTGAGCCATTTGACTGAAATGTTACGCAGATTCTCATGTGTTAAACACTCGAATACACTTTTTAAGATCCGCAGTTGACAGTTAAACCACTGTGATGCAAAATTGAATTAAAAAGGAGATAGTGTTACTATCTGTTGAAAAGAGTGACTTAGAGAGGATGTTAGAGGTTTCTTGTGGGTGTTGGCATATAGAGATCTCAAACTCAGGTCGTGCAAAATATCTGTTTCAATGCTGGTTTTGTGGTGTTTCTCAGTCAACATCAGAATAGTGACATGAAGGATCATAACAAGAATATGAAGGATTATGATTACTGTACTGACACTATAGATAAGTATAATTGCTGTGTATCATCATTATAAATAAGCCTTACCTCAGGACACTCAGTGGAAAGAGCCTGCTACTCCATTGGTGCATCTAAGTTAAAGTAAGCACACATTGTAAATGCTTTAAAGTCATCTTTAGGGTTCCCCACCCCACCCCTTTTACCTTTTACTCTTTGCGTACTGCTTCAAACTAATGTGCCTTAGTATGTGCCAAACTTCTGTTAATTTAAATGCCCAGATTTTAACACGAGACCTGTTGAGGCCTAAATCTGCATTTACTTTCCCACTTGATTAATCAGAAACACTTAAAGAGGACCTGAAGGAGTTGAAAAACAACACCAGAGAATGAGTAACGTTTAGGAACCATACTGTGTTCTTATTACAACATGAAGTGTTGCTAAGAACTGGAGAACAGCCCTTGAACGTGTTCCAATACCCAGAAACATATGTCTTCAATAATGTCCTCTGAAATGACCACTGATAGGTGAAAGGACTAGGCCTAAATAGATTTTCACAGTACTATTATCTTGCCTACCAAGTCCTTTCATATCAGTGGCCATGCAGGAAAGGAGATGGAGGAACGGAAGCTATTTTCACTATGGTGACAGACACTGAGCTCTGAATTCCTCTGACGTTATAATAAAGTGAAGAGATACATTTTTGAAAACTACAGTGTTCATAATGCATGGGAAAGCAGAGCACCTCTTTTTACAAATATTAGTCACTGAAATGCTCTGGTGGAAGGATTCATACATGTGGAAACACTGTCAACCTCTTGTGCCTTAACATTTATTTTGTATTTTTTTGTATTTGTCTTATATTGGTACCGTGACATGTATTGACTGAATCATTTAATAAATGTATTATTTCACCTTCAACATCTCCTTGAGTCTCATGTTTTATCAAGGAGTTTGCTTAAGAGTGGCCCCCTTAAGCTGACTGGCCAGAACACACAGAATATCAGGGGTAGGCAACTCCAGTCCTGCAGGGACCTTAGTGTCTGCTGCTTTTCTCTTTTGCCTGGCACTTAATTAATCCACTTATGCCATACCTGGTTTATAAATCAGATGCTGATTTGGAGAGAACAAAAGCCAGCAGACATGCACTCAGGCCCCTGTAGACCAGACTTGCTCATCCCTGTCATATAGAATGCTGCTCAAGTAATACCAGTGCATATTTGCCAATAGTCTGCCAGATAAACTGTATTTGGCTACTGCCCAAAGTTGTAGGTATTGGTACTTGCTGCATGACATGTTACACAGCAGAACAGATACTATTCACACAGATTTAACAGACCAGGATACGAAACGCAGCCTGGCTGACATTCTTATTTTATTCAAACGATTTTTCAAGATCCCCTATTTCTCTCTTTGTCCAACTAACTATAAGGTCTATGCTGAAACAGTGTACAGCGGTGACAACAGAAGTCAGTGCAAAGTCTACTGTATTTGCACTAAGCAGTTTGCCTCTCGACCACAGAGTGGCGGTAAAGCTGCGTGTATCCCGTTTCCTGTCGTGAGTGCGCGTCCAACGCTGGATGTGAGCGCCACTGTGAGCTGTCTCTTCCCCCAGATCGAAGATGGCGGTGTCGGTGTTTCCCGGCGTGCGGCTCCTCTCTATCGGAGACGCAAACGGAGAAATACAGCGTCACTCCGAGCAGCAGCCTCTACGACTGGAGGTGAAAGCCACACAGGACGCGGCCCTGATCAACCTCTCCAATGGTGAGTGGACTTGAGACAGCTCTTCCATACCCCGGTTCGGCCTGGGCTCCTGGCTAACTTACGTTACCCTGGCTAACTAGCCAGAGCTAAATGCTAACAAGCTAGCTAGCTAACCGATGCGAGTGCCTGGTCTTGCACATGTGTGCGGATGGGGGTTCCACTTCAAAACCGACTGGTTCCACCTATAGAATCCAACGTAACGGGGACTGTTGTTTTCGCTTATCGATACTAGCTAGCTAAAATAACTTAGTTAGCTACTTCTCCAGCACCGCGACAGCGCACACTGTTGGTAGCTTAGCTAACTATAGGTGGTTAGCATTAGCAAGCTTACTGCGTTCATTTCGTGGCTTGTGGACCACGTTTTGTCTTACCTACCTATTTGTCTTGAAGAATATTATTTAAAGTAGTTATTTCATGCGAAGTAGTCTGTTTTAGCTCACACGAGACGTTTCCTGGACAGCTAACTAAGTGTGACCAAACATATTAGTTACCTAGCTACCCTTGTTTACTAATATCAACTTCCTAACAATTTAGCGCCAGATTGCCTTTCAATGATGCAGCATCCTATCCCGCAGCTAAGCCTACTAGCCAGCTCGCTACACATTGATGCAGATAGCCAATGCTAATTGACATGTTAGCGTGCGCTTTCATTTCTGCTCCAAAAAGCTAACTGTCAGCCATACTACGCAATGATGTGCCCTTCATGCCACATAGTACTAACAGTTAAAACCAACTGCGTCATATTGGCATTGCCCTCTTTATTAGCTAGTTAGATGGTTTTTATGATAAAGCAAGATAACGTTTGACCCTTTGAGATGTGTATCTTAAGTGTGTTTTGTTTTAGAACGTCGTCGTCTTTGCGCACAGATCATAGTAGCGGTGCAAGCAAGCTAAGTAGCGCGTGCTACTTTATGGTCCACTCATCTACTGTAGCTACCTAGCTGAGTTAAAAATAAGCGATAATCGAAATCGTTCCAAAGAACAGGCTAAAGGAGGCCTTGTGTGTCGATGAGCTAAACCAGGCTCGTATTAGTTATTCATCTTTGTTCTCCTCTGAACAATAGCCAGCTAGTCCCCCACCTACCCTCTCCCCTGTCGTTGTCTTGTGTGCTCGCGCTCAGAGCTTGCAGCTTTTGTTACACTGAGGCACAGATGGGATGGCCCTTTCAAGAAGCCGTGATGTCCCTAGTTTTGATACAGTCAAGCTTGGGCTGTGGGGAAAGTGGAAATGGGTGTGTGGCTGTGTGTTTTTCAAGGTGTCCTATCAAAGTTTTATGATGTGTGTGATTGCCTGGTCTGGTCCATAGGCCCAACAGCAGTTTCCTCCTCCCAACATTCCCATGATGAAAGATAAACGTTTCCATACCAGGCAGGAATGAACTCCCGATTGAATTGCTACTTAGACCAGCACGACTGAGAGTCTAAAGTAATATGACCAGTTTTACGTTTTCCAATTGGAAAAATAACCTCAGTGTCTTGCCAGACAATCATTTTATTTCTGCGTTATTATAGCCACAATAGCACCTCAATAAAACACAGCACACTAGTAATGGCTATTGACATTTATTATAGTGGGCTCATCATGCTGGAATGGGTGTATTTAAATCTTGTCCATGAGGGGCAATGTCTTGGCCCAGCAAAAATATCATAATTTTGCTCTTCACTTTGACAAGTGTCTGTATGATGACCTGACATTACCTTGTTAGAACATTGACATGGCTATCATCTGGTTGTTACATATCTGTAACATGTCTATAGTGACAGTCCTTGTCCCCCATCTGTCATTCTGTCATTGCCCACAATGTTCAGCTGTAGGCCTTGTAGACAGGACCTGTCGAGTGGAGGGAGATGGTTGTAGCCAAAATATTTTAAAGCATGCACTCTATCTCTCTCTCAGCCCTTGCATCGAACATACACTTGTTAAGCAACACACACACTCCCTCATATGTATTTATTGCAGGTTAATCCTGTGTCAGTAGCTAGTTTGGTCTGTTAATAAAACATGCTGCCTCTGGCTAATTTTTGTAACAGCGCTAGTCTTAATCCCATCACAACTGCTGAATTAAACCACAGATTATCTCACTGCCCGCACAGCACTAGACCTACCTTGCCAAAGTATTGCTTTCACATATCCAGTCTTTAAAACTGTGATCTTTATCATCCAGGAGTGTGTGTGAAATAGCTTCAAAAGAAGAAATTACTAACTTTCCCTCTGCTAAAGGAGGTTACAAATAGCTCTTTGCTTGCTGCTATGGTTGAGATGCTTTGATGCTAATTTAGTCAATAAAGCACTGTGTGCGATAGGGCCAATTGTGTGTTAGCATGTTGTTCTTCATGTTGTGTGACCTACGGACCTACCACGTACTCCTGTGCCACGCATATTCCATGAATGACCTGTTGTAGGCATGTTGCCGTGCCCTAACTAATGTATGCCTCCTCCCACAGCAGAGGAGACATGCGTGTTCAAGTGTTCAGTCTCCCGGGACACAGAGTGCAGTCGCGTGGGGAAACAGTCGTTCATCATCACGCTGGGCTGCAACAGCGTCCTGCTACAGTTCACCTCACCTGCAGGTAGGTAACCCCTGGCAACAACCACTGCTGTGTCTCAGAGAATGCTGTCATTGTCTGTCTGTCTGTCTGGTTTTTCCATCTGTCTTTGACTGCCTGCCAGTAGGCTATATCTGTCTCTGTCATTGACCCTCTGTCTCCTGTGTGTCTTTGACTCCCTGTCCTGGTGCACATGTTCCTGTCCTCATAAAGAGATTCTTATTGTTTCTCAAACTTGTCTTGCCTCTGTCATGTTTGTGAACTGTTATAATTTGTTATAACTGGTCTTTGATTTTTCCATACTATGACTGGCTTAAGACCGTTTAGAACTGTTATGTCTGATTTGTCCTGCTTATAACCTGTTATGACTATCTTCTCAAGAGTTCTCATCGTTCTATAACCTCCTGAAGAACTGCCGCGGCCACAGTGGAGAGCAGTCGGTCTTCAGCGACAGGACAGAGGAATCATCCGCAGTACAGTACTTCCAGGTACACACGCAGAATCTGCCACTCATTGCAATAATTCATTTATTCCAACCTTGATTAGCTCAGTGACTATTAAAACACCTCATGAAAAATAAGCTGTTCTGTCACTTTCTTTTCCTCTCTCTCGTTCTCTCTCTCCTTCGCTCTTCCAGTTCTATGGCTATCTCTCTCAGCAGCAGAACATGATGCAGGACTACGTCAGGACAGGAACCTATCAGAGGGCCATTCTCCAGAACCACATTGACTTCAAGGATAAGGTACTGATGCACTGTCCTGGAACTTAAATATAGCTTCCTCTGAATTGAGTCCTTTGCTGAGTATTTGAAACTAAACTGATGTTTAATTGGTTTGGGATGTAGACACTGCTGGATTTCATTGATGTCTTTATCAGGGAAGAATTAGAATCCATTCCCCTCTCTCTCTAGGTGGTGTTGGATGTGGGCTGTGGTTCAGGGATTCTGTCGTTCTTTGCTGCTCAGGCTGGGGCCAGAAAGGTCTACGCTGTGGAGGCCAGCACCATGGCCCAGCACGCAGAGGTAACACACACACACACAAAACCATGTCGAAATTAAAATTGACCTACAGAACCAGTCAAAAGTTTGGATACACCTACTCATTCAAGGGTTTTTCTTTATTTTTACTATTTTCTACATTGTAGAATAATAGTGAAGACATCAAAACTATGAAATAACACATATGGAATCATGTAGTAACCAAAAAAGTGTTAAACAAATGGAAATATATTTTATATTTGAGATTCTTCAAATAGCCACCCCTTGCCTTGATGACAGCTTTGCACACTCTTGGCATTCTTTCAACCAGCTTCACCTGGAATGCTTTTCCAACAGTCTTAAAGGAGTTCCCACATATGCTGAGCACTTGTTGGCTGCTTTTCCTTCACTCTGCGGTCCAACTCATCCCAAACCATCTCAGTTGGGTCGGGGGATTGTGGAGGCCAGGTCATCTGATGCAGCACTCCATCACTCTCCTTCTTGGTAAAATAACACTTACACAGCCTGGAGGTGTGTTGGGTCATTGTCCTGTTGAAAAACAAATGATAGTCCCACTAAGCCCAAACCAGATGGGATGGCGTATCGCTGCAGAATGCTGTGGTAGCCATGCTGGTTAAGTGTGCCTTGAATTCTAAATTAATCACAGACAGTGTCACCAGCAAAACACCCCCACACCATAACACCTCCTCCTCCATGCTTTACGGTGGGAAATACACATGTGGAGATCATCCGTTCACCCACATCGCGTCTCACAAAGACACGGTGGTTGGAACCAAAAATCTCAAATTTGGACTCATCAGACCAGAGGTAAAATTTCCACTGGTCTAATGTCCATTGCTCGTGTTTCTTGCCCCAAGCAAGTCTCTTCTTCTTATTGGTGTCCTTTAGTAGTGGTTTCTTTGCAGAAATTCGACCATGAAGGCCTGATTCACACAGTCTCCTCTGAACAGTGAATGGTGAGATGTCTGTTACTTGAACTCTGTGAAGCATTTATTTGGGCTGCAACATTTATTTGGGTAACTCAAATTAACTTATCCTCTGCAGCAGAGGTAACTCTGGGTCTTCCATTCCTGTGGCGGTCCTCATGAGAGCCAGTTTCATCATAGCGCTTGATGGTTTTTGCGACTGCACTTGAATAAACTTTAAAAGTTCTTGAAATGTTCCGTATTGACTGACCTTCATGTCTTAAAGTAATGATGGACTGTCGTTTCTCTTTGCTTATTTGAGCTGTTCTTGCCATAATATGGACTTGGTCTTTTACCAAATAGGGCTGTCTTCTGTATACCCCGCCTACCTTGTGACAACACAACTGATTGGCTCAAACGCATTAAAAAGGAAAGAAATTCCACAAATTAACTTTTAAGAAGGTACAGCTGTTAATTGAAATGCATTCCAGGTGACTACCTCATGAAGCTGGTTGAGAGAATGCCAAGAGTGTGCAAAGCTGTCATCAAGGTAAAGGGTGGCTATTTGAAGAATCTCAAATGTAAAATGTTTTGATTTGTTTAACACTTTTTTGGTTACTACATGATTCCATATGTGTTATTTCATATTTTTGATGTCTTCACTATTATTTTACAATGTAAAAAATAGTAAAAATAAAGAAAAACCCTTGAATGAGTAGGTGTGTCCAAACTTTTGACTGGTAGTGTATATATTTTCAAATAACTGCACTTTTTCTGGGCCGCAAATTGATTTTGACATACAAGTCAGTCCCAAAAAAATCTGTGCAGTCCTCCGTTGAATTTCGAAAGCCCTCGAGATTAAAGGTTTGCCCACCCCTGCTCTAACCCTATCCTCTTCTTGACATGCTAGGTAGCCATAAGTCTGGCAAATGTCTCAGTCTCACTCTAATACACACACACACACACACACAATTTTCCTCCCACACACACACTCTAACCCTCTGGTGTCCCCTTCACTAGGTCCTGGTGAACTCTAACCCCCTGGTGTCCCCTCCTCTTGGTCCTTGTGAACTCTAACCGTCTGGTGTCCCCTCCTCTAGGTCCTGGTGAACTCTAACCCCCTGGTCTCCCCTCCTCTAGGTCCTGGTGAACTCTAACCCCCTGGTCTCCCCTCCTCTAGGTCCTGGTGATCTCTAACACTCTGGTTTCCCCTCCACTAGGTCCTGGTGAACTCTAACCCTCTGGTGTCCCCTCCTCTTGGTCCTTGTGAACTCTAACGCTCTGGTCTCCCCTCCTCTTGGTCCTGGTGAACTCTAACCCTCTGGTCTCCCCTCCTCTAGGTCCTGGTGAACACTAACCGTCTGGGGGACCGTGTGGTGGTGATCCCTGGTAAAGTAGAGGAGGTTACGCTACCGGAGCAGGTGGACATCATCATCTCAGAGCCCATGGGTTACATGCTCTTCAACGAGAGGATGCTGGAGAGCTACCTCCACGCCAAGAAGTTCCTCAAGCCTAGCGGTGAGACAGAGGGAAGGTTGGAGGGAGAGCATAGAAAGGGGTAGCGTGGGAGGGAAGGAGAAAGCGAGAAAATGTCAAGAGGTCTGAAGATTATTTTGAATCCCTAGCAGTAAATAATATTAAAGTCTACATTTGAAACTGAGAGACATATTCATCATGACTAGCCACTAGTGATTGTACCATCATTAACTGACTTCCTGTGTGTCGCAGGTAAAATGTTCCCCACCATCGGTGACGTGCACCTGGCCCCCTTCACAGACGAACAGCTCTACATGGAGCAGTTCACCAAGGCCAACTTCTGGTGAGTAGGAGGGGAGGGAGGAGAGAAAAGGGGAGAGTGGGAGGAAGGATGGGGTTGGAGGGACGGAGGGGGAAATGGTAAGAGAAGAAGCAGCTCTGGGAGTTGAAGCAGTGAATGGAAGGAGATATCAGTAACTTTTCATTGGGCTGCTGTAGTTGATGGGATTGAGTTGATAATGATTATATTTCTCACTCACTCAGGTACCAGCCTTCCTTCCATGGTGTGGACCTCTCAGCCTTGCGAGGCGCAGCGGTGGACGAGTACTTTCGCCAGCCCATTGTGGTACGTAGATTTCTCAATTGTATGTCAGACTCTTGAACACCTATTTTCTGACATTGCCTGCACCTCCCACCATGTGGGGTGCAGGGGGACGGTTAACTAGGAAATGTACAGTGAGGGAAAAAAGTATTTGATCCCCTGCTGATTTTGTACGTTTGCCCACTGACAAAGAAATGATCAGTCTATAATTTTAATGGTAGGTTTATTTGAACAGTGAGAGACAGAATAACAAAATGTTATAAATTGATTTTCATTTTAATGAGGGAAATAAGTGTTTGACCCCCTCTCAATCAGAAAGATTTCTGGCTCCCAGGTGTCTTTTATACAGGTAACGAGCTGAGATTAGGAGCACACTCTTAAAGGGAGTGCTCCTAATCTCAGTTTACCTGTATAAAAGACACCTGTCCACAGAAGCAATCAATCAATCAGATTCCAAACTCTCCACCATGGCCAAGACCAAAGAGCTCTCCAAGGATGTCAGGGACAAGATTGTAGACCTACACAAGGCTGGAAGGGGCTACATGACCATCGCCAAGCAGCTTGGTGAGAAGGTGACAACAGTTGGTGTGATTATTTGCAAATGGAAGAAACACAAAATAACTGTCAATCTCCCTCGGCCTGGGGCTCCATGCAAGATCTCACCTCGTGGAGTTGCAATGATCATGAGAACGGTGAGGAATCAGCCCAGAACTACACGGGAGGATCTTGTCAATGATCTCAAGGCAGCTGGGACCATAGTCACCAAGAAAACAATTGGTAACACACTACGCCGTGAAGGACTGAAATCCTGCACCGCCCGCAAGGTCCCCCTGCTCAAGAAAGCACATATACAGGGCCGTCTGAAGTTTGCCAATGAACATCTGAATGATTCAGAGGAGAACTGGGTGAAAGTGTTGTGGTCAGATGAGACCAAAATCAAGCTCTTCGGCATCAACTCAACTCGTCGTGTTTGGAGGAGGAGGAATGCTGCCTATGACCCCAAGAACACCATCCCCACTGTCAAACATGGAGGTGGAAACATTATGCTTTGGGGGTGTTTTTCTGCTATGGGGACAGGACAACTTCACCGCATCAAAGGGACGATGGACGGGGCCATGTACTGTCAAATCTTGGGTGAGAACCTCCTTCCCTCAGCCAGGACATTGAAAATGGGTCGTGGGTGGGTATTCCAGCATGACAATGACCCAAAAGACACGGCCAAGGCAACAAAGGTGTGGCTCAAAAAGAAGCACATTAAGGTCCTGGAGTGGCCTAGCCAGTCTTCAGACCTTAATCCCATAGAAAATCTGTGGAGGGAGCTGAATGTTCGAGTTGCCAAATGTCAGCCTCGAAACCTTAATGACTTGGAGAAGATCTGCAAAGAGGAGTGGGACAAAATCCCTCCTGAGATGTGTGCAAACCTGGTGGCCAACTACAAGAAACGTCTGACCTCTGTGATTGCCAACAAGGGTTTTGCCACCAAGTACTAAGTCATGTTTTGCAGAGGGGTCAAATACTTATTTCCCTCATTAAAATGCAAATCAATTTATAACATTTCTGACATGCGTTTTTCTGGATTTTTTTGTTGTTATTCTGTCTCTCACTGTTCAAATAAACCTACCATTAAAATTATAGACTGATCATGTCTTTGTCAGTGGGCAAACGTACAAAATCAGCAGGGGATCAAATACTTTTTTCCCTCACTGTATATGGGAGGGGTGTTTAAGGCCTGAAATAGTCAGGGGGTATGTGGGGACAAGAGCTGTTTGTGGAAGATTGGGTGGCAAAGTACGGACTGGCCAGTGTGTTTGTTTACCTCCAAGGGTGGTACATGAGGTGTGTGTGTGTGTCTATGGGCAAACGCTGATGCAGGATAGGAGATTGCCTGTATGGGAGTTTGTGTTTGTGGTAGGAGATACCACAGTTACACTGTGTGTGTGTGTTATGAAGGCTGGGATAAATAAGCTAGATGCAGTCTGAGTTTAGGATCCCAATGTTTTCGCCCAGTCCAGCTCCCCTAGTCTTAACACCACAGAACCAACAGTACGGTTTCAACAGTACTATCACTGCTCATATGAATCTCAACCCTTTTATCACACACAGCACCACACACACACCGACAGCGACACACACACCCTTTTCCAGCGGTAGTCAGCTGGGCAGGCCTCCTCCGTGCCTGCTCCAGTGTTACTCTGCTGGGAGAGCCTGGTTCTGGGTACAGCCTCTGTTCTAGATCATTCAAATAAGACATAGACTGTCTCCATACCCACTCAAGCCAATGCTGCCGTAAAACATTTATCTCACTGGGACTTACCTGGATACTCGCTTCCCTCTATCTCTCCATCCCCTCTTCCCTCTCTCTCCCTCCCCTCTTCCCTCTCTCTCTCTTCCCTCTCCTCTTCCCTCTCTCTCTCTCTCCCTCCCCTCTTTCCTCTCTCTTCCCTCTCTCTCCCTCCCCTCTTCCCTCTCTCTCTCTTCCCTCTCTCTCTCTTCCCGCTCTCTCTCTATTCCCTCTCTCTCCCTCTTCCCTCTCTCTCTCCTTCCTCCTTTTTCTTTCCCTCCCCATCTCAGGACACATTTGATATCCGTATCTTGATGGCCAAGTCTGTCAAATACACAGTCAACTTCCTGGAGGCCAAAGAGGAGGATTTGTACAGGTGTGTGTGTCTGTGTGCCGTCTGTCTGTGTCTGTTATTCCCTCATATATTTATTATTGAATTGTTATTCTTAGATTGAGCTGAGAATTGCGATGCATAGATACATGTTACAGAATGTGGGGATGTCCTACTTCTCTAATATGGTGCTGCTTCCAATTCGAAATTCCTACATCAGCAAAACATACTACATAATTCCTTCTACTAGTGTGTAAAAATAACCGTAAAGCGGCAATCAGCAGTAGAAACGATAACAAAGTGAATTCCCCACCCCTCTTTAGGTAAAAAGCTGAGGGATGGGGCTGGAGAAATGTAACCACTCTCAAATGCAAGGACTGACCATCCATGATATCAAAATTATAGTTTTAAACATGTTTTGACTTGATATATTGTTTACATTTACTTTGTTTACAAACATTGGAGTAAAACAAATATTTTGGGTTCTGATGGGTTATGACAGTTGAACTAAGTTCATTAGGCATTTCTAAGTTAAATACTTCAAGACTCAATGGGCACATATCATTAATTTATAAGTCCAAAAATGGATGTAGCAACTGCTGATTGCCCCTTTAACTAGACTAACACTTATCCCACTCTTTTCTCTCTTTCCCTCTCTCTCTCCCCTTCTCTCTCGCTCTCTCTTTCAGGATAGAGATTCCCTTTAAGTTCCATATGATGCACTCAGGGCTGGTGCACGGCCTGGCCTTCTGGTTCGATGTAGCGTTCATGGGATCAATGTAAGTCGGCCTAAGCTGCCTTAACCAATCACCGGGGGCCAGGGCTGAAGTGTGTGTGTGTGTGTGTGTGTGTGTGTGTGTGTGTGGTCAGAAGGTCACAGGAATTACTGTAAAATCTGATCACTTGATCCAGGACTCCTGACCTATATGGATCCTGACTATATCTACACCCTCACTTTCCTTTTTCTTTGATCACTTGTTTTTTTATTTCTCACAGACGTTGCAACAAACACCAAGACAGAAAGCGGGTGCAACTTAAAAGCAATACCATATAGTACAATACATTCACTATAGAAACATTTCACAATAAGTTGTAGCTATAGAAACATTTCACAATAAGTTGTAACTATAGAAACATTTCACAATAAGTTGTAGCTATAGAAACATTTCACAATAAGCTGTAGCTATAGAAACATTTCATAATAATAATAATAATGTGCCATTTAGCAGACGCTTTTATCCAAAGTGACTTACAGTCATGTGCTCATACATTTTTGTGTATGGGTGGTCCCGGGGATCGAACCCACTACCTTGGCGTTACAAGCGCCGTGCTCTACCAGCTGAGCTACAGAGGACCACAATAAGTTGTAACTATAGAAACATTTCACAATAAGTTGTAACTATAGAAACATTTCACAATAAGTTGTAAATGGCTGTTCCTACTGTATATCTGACAATGCTTGTACTGTAGTAGGATGACGTTGATTGAACCTTAAAGTATCCTGACCTCTAACCCCCCTCCCTCTCTCTGCAGGGTGACAGTGTGGCTCTCCACGGCTCCCACAGAGCCCCTGACCCACTGGTACCAGGTCCGCTGTCTGCTCCAGTCACCCCTCTTCACCAAGGCAGGAGACACACTCTCCGGCACAGCACTGCTCATCGCCAACAAGAGGTAAGGGACTGTAGAGGGGTCTACTGGGGGTCTGTTAGGGATGGGAGGCTTTGGCTTGTGTTATAATATGACACTTGTGTGTGTAGGTGATGTACAGTGCGCTCCATTAGTATTGAGACAGTGACATTATTATTTTTTGCCTCATACAATGACTATGGGGTTCAAGTGCAGACTGTCAGCTTTAATTTGAGGGTATTTTCATCCATATCGGGTTAACCATTTAGAAATGACAGCACTTTATGTATGTAGTCCCCCCATTTTAAGGGAACCAAAAGTATGGAAACAAATTCATCTGTGTGTATTAAAGTTGTAAAAATTTAAGTATTTGGACCCAATCGTCATAGCACGCAATGACCACATCAAGCTTGTGACTCTACACATTTGTTGGATGCATTTGCTGTTTGTTTTGGTTGTTTCCGATTCTTTTGTGGCCAGTTGAAATTAATGGTAAATAATGTATTGTCATTTTTGAGTCACTTTTATTGTAAATAACAATAGAATATGTTTCTAAACACTTCTACATTAATGTGGATGCTACCATGATTACATATAATCCTGAATGAATCGTGAATAATGATGAGTGAGAAAGTTAGTGTAACCTCATGCTAACCTCTCACCATTACAATAACAGAGGAGCTTAGCATTTGGTGGGGGTGGGGTGGGGGGGGTGATGATATTTGTGCATCTGTAACTTCATAGTCATTGTATCATTTAAAATTCAAAGTGCTGGGGTACAGAGCCAAAACAACGTGTCACTGTCCCAATACTTTTGGAGCTCACTGTGTGTACAGTGCCTTCGGAAAAGTATTCAGACCACTTGACTTTTTCCACATTTTGTTACATTACAGCCTTATTCTAAAATGGATTAAATAAAATAAATCCTCAGTAATCTACACACAATACCCCATAATGACAAAGTGAAAACAATGTTATAAAAAATATAAAAAACAGATAGCTTTGCTATGAGACTTGAAATGGAGCTCAGGTGCATCCTGTTTCCATTGATCATCCTTGAGATGTTACTACAGCTTGAATGGAGTCTACTGTGGTCAATTCAATTGATTGGACATGATTTGGAAAGGCACAGACCTGTCTATATAAGGTCCCACAGTTGACAGTGCATGTCAGAGCAAAAACCAAGCCATGGGGTCGAAGGAAATGTCTGTAGAGCTCAGAGACATGATTGTGTCGAGGCACAGATCTGGGGAAGGGTACCAAAACATTTCTGTAGCATTGAAGGTCCCCAAGAACACAGTGGCGTCCATCATTCTTAAATGGAAGAAGTTTGGAACCACCAAGACTCTTCCCCGGCCAAACTGAGCAATCTGGGGAGAAGGGCCTTGGTCAGGGAGGTGACCAAGAACCCGATGGTCACTCTGACAGAGCTCTAGAGTTCCTCTGCGGAGATGGGAGTACCTTCCAGAAGGACAACAATCTCTGCAGCACTCCACCAATCAGGCCTTTATGGGAGACTGGCTAGACGGTAGACACTCCTCAGTAAAAGGCACATGACATCCCCCTTGGAGTTTGCCAAAAGGCACCCAAAGATTCTCAGACCATGAGAAACAAGATTCTCTGGTCTGATGAAACCAAGATTGAAATCTTTGGCCTGAATGCCAAATGTCACGTCTGGAGGAAACCTGGCACCATCCCTACGGTGAAGCATGGTGGTGGCAGCATCATGCTGTGGGGATGTTTTTCAGCGGCAGGGACTAGGAGACTAGTCAGGATCGAGGGAAAGATGAATGAAGCAAAGTACAGAGAGATCGTTGATGAACCTGCTCCAGAGTGCTCAGGACCTCAGACTGGGACGAAGGTTCACCTTCCAACAGGACAACGACCTTAAGCACACAGCCAAGAGAACTCAGGAGTGGCTTCGGGACAAGTCTGAATGTCCTTGAGTGGCCCAGCCAGAGCCCGTACTTGAACCCGATCGAACATGTCTGGAGAGACCTGAAAATAGCTGTGCAGCAACGCTTCCCATCCAACCTGACAGAGCTTGAGAGGATCTGCAGAGAAGAATGGGAGAAACTCCCCAAATACAGATGTGCCAAGCTTGTAGCGTCATACCCAAGATGACTCAAGACTGTAATCGCTGCCAAAGGTGCTTCAACAAAGTACTGAGTAAAGGGTTTGAATACTTATGTAAATGTGATATTTTGTTTTTTATTTTTATTTTTTATTAGCAAACATTTCTACAAACTTGTTTTTGCTTTGTCATTATGGGGTATTATGTGTAGATTGATGAGGGGGTAAAACAATTCAAGCAATTTTAGAAAAGGCTCTAACATAACAAAATGTGGAAAAAGTCAAGGGGTCTGAATACTTTCTGAAGGCACTGTATATATGTGTGTTACAAATGTGTGCTTGCTGTCTCTGTTTCTCTCCCTTCTCACCTCCTCCATACCAACACCTTCTCTCCTCCCATACCAACCCCGGCTCTCTTCCCTCCCCACAGACAAAGCTATGACATCAGTATTGTTGCACAAGTGGACCAGACAGGCTCCAAGTCCAGCAACCTCCTGGACTTGAAGAACCCCTTTTTCAGGTGAGTTGGTCTGTTCCGCTGCCCTTGGCCTGTGCCATTCAGGATAACGAGGGGGGGGGGAAGGGGAGCTCCCTCTCATGGCGTGTATGTTGTTGTGTATGTGTGTGTTTTTGTAGGTACACAGGCAGCACCCCCACCCCCCCTCCTGGGTCGCACTACACCTCCCCCTCTGAGACCATGTGGAACAATGGGGGGGCCTACAGCATGAGCCAGGGCATGGCTGTGTCAGGTAAATACACACACATAGAGGACACAGGTAGAGGGGACACATACGCACACAGAAGACATACCCACACACACTGCATGAGGCAGAACAATGTTGTGTCGGGTAAACGCACACACAGACAAAAAACAAACACAATCTGACCCATGATAACATCATGACCAAATGTCTTACTAAACTGTAGTAATATCCCAGAATAGATCAGGCTAACAGAGTAGCAGACAGACAGGGGATGCATGCTCTCTCTGAGGGGAAAACGGTGTGTGAGAGAAAGGATGCTTATGCTTCTCCTGTGCTTTTCTCTATTTCGCTCCCCATCTCTCTCGTTCTCTCTTCTCCCCATCTCTCTCGTTCTCTCTTCTCCCCATCTCTCTCGTTCTCTCTTCCCCGTCTCATCCTCTCATCTCTCTCTCCTCTCTCTCAGGGATGCCTACAGCCTATGACCTCAGTACGGTCATGGGCAGCGGCTCGACGGTGTCCCACAACAACCTCATCCCCCTCGGTAGGATACTATGGACTGACTGACAAACCGACAGACTGAGACATCACAGACAGTGTGACTGACTGTGTGTGTGTGTGTGTTTGCACATTTGTGTGTGTTTGTTAATACACAGTCTCACTGTTACCTCTATTCCTGCCCTCCCTCAGTGAACACAGGGATAGTGAATCACACCCACTCAAGGATGGGCTCCATCATGAGCACAGGAATCGTCCAGGGTACGTCTCTTTATACACTATACCAGAGTTCCCTCCCCCCCGAGTGCACGTTTTGGTTTTTACCCTAGCACTACACAGCTGATTCAAATAATCAAAGGTTGATGATGAGGGGGCAGGACAGGACAGAGTTTGGGAAACCCTGCACTATACTACATCAAGTCAACAGCTTCCTAAACGCCTATCATTTGTGTAAATAGAGGGGATGGATTCTGAAGTATGTGACATAGTTGGCCCACAACCAATCAAGGGAAGGTGATAACACTCTTTCCCTCTCTCTCCCGCCCCTTTTCTCCCCATCACTCTTTCTCCCTCATCTCTCCAGGAGCTTCTACTGGCCAGTCAGGTCCTAGCAGCAGCAGCTCTAACCAGCAGCAGCATTATCCCGTCACCAACCAGTTCACCATGGGGGGACCCGCCATCTCCATGGCCTCTCCCATGGCCATCCCTAGCAACACCATGCATTATGGGAGTTAAGACCTCGTCACCCCTCACCTCCGACCCCCTGCATGACCTCTACTAGCCCCTCCCCCTGACCGACCATAGCCAGAACCAGAATACCAAAACCAGTGCTGTCATGTTGTCCCTTCAGCACCTTCCTTCTTCTTTCTCCTTTACTGTCCATCTCTCCATCTATCACTGGTGTTATTCGCTCATATCCGTCCCTCCCTGCCGCTACAGACACTCTCTCCGTTTTGAGAGCTGTTCCCCTACTCCCTCCCTCCCTCATCATCGTGCAGCAGCTGCTATGATATCCCCAGTCCAGCCAGAGGGTGGCAGCACCTCTACGTTCAACTGACAGACTGATCAGCACAAGAAATTGGCCGTTTTTTTGAATGGAGAGCTGAACTGATGTGAACTTTGTTTGACTGGACCTTTTTATGCTTTACAGACGCATACATGTACACCTACACACACATATTGAACACAGAGACATTTGTTGCAAAGAAGAACTCATTGTACGACTGTACAGCAGGTATCATCTCTTTTATCCGGGTTCCCTCACTCCTCTCCTCCCTTTTGGACATTTGGCCTCCCATAGTGCCGGTGTGATGCCCCACCCTTCCCCCTCTTCCACCAAACACACACCCAACCCCATCCACTACAGCCAGTCGCCATCCCCCCTCCCCTCATCGCTGGATTGGATGTCCCCCACTACAGATCTACACTGAAAGGACGGGGCTTTCCTATACAGTAGAACACTATGAACACCCCTCACCGACCGCCATTTTGTTTTCATATCGAGGCACTTCTCCACCTGCCTGTAGAGCCTCTCTCCTTAAGAGACGGCCCCATTCCAGACCGCTAGCTCCGCTCCACCCCCCCCACCCAAGTTGTTTGTCTGGTCGTCCATAGTGGTAGTCTTTAGCCCAGTAGACCTAGGCTGTCCCTCAAGACACCCTATTCACTATACAGTGCTCTACTTTTGACTAGAGCCACATGGCCAAATGAAGTGCACTATATAGGGAATAAGGTGTCATTTGAGACGTAGCCTAGATGTCAGTGTGTAGGAGAACCCTGTAGAATGTGATCTTGAAGAATACCACCTCTGGAACCCTGATGTTAGAACCTCACCTCTGATGGACTGATTGACTTGTGAGGTGTGTCGTCCAAAACCAATGAGCTTTGAGGACACAGCAGCAGACCCAGCCCCCCACTCCCCATCAGGATTGCAGTGAGCCGGAGTGGGCTGATTGGATTGATGGAGGCAGGGGTGGGATGGACCCACAGACTGCCAGTATGGACCAAGGCCAGTGGTGTGGGCCGTTGGAGCAGCTGTATCCTAGTTTACATCCTCCCCAGTTTCCTTTCCTTCCTTCATTTTCAGACTGAGGTGGGGAGTTTGGGATAGAGGGGAGTAGGGAGTCACCTCTTTCCCTCCCCCCTCCCTCACTACCTATGATCTCCAGACTCTTAACATATCTAAACCTCACCCCTCCAATCTCCTCCCTCCTTTCCCGGACAAGCCAATTGCCCAACCTTCGTACAAAGACTTAATGGACATGTATGCATTGCTTCCAGTCACAATTTATGGACTGAGTTTAATTACATTTTTTTGATTTAGCAAGTTTTATGAAGAGAAAATGTCTTGCTAGTTTGTAGGGTTAACTTTTTTTCAGTTGTCATTATTTGTTTTATTTCTTTCACAGAAAAGCAACAAACAAAAAAAAGTATAAAAGGAGTAAATTAAATGTTGGTGGAGAAGTCCCAAAAAAAATCCTCGGGTTAAGTCTTATAATATTTTACTTTTGTTGAGATATTGCAGTTAGAATCATACATAACACCAATGTTGTGATAGTTGCTATCTTAGCATTCAAACACTACTTTTCTCTGACCTCAGAAGGGACATCTATTGATGGAAAGTGCATCAGGAAGTCTCTTGTTCATTGTTTTTAAAGACATTGCCCCTAACACGTAGCCACAGATCTAGGATCAGATTTTCCTAACCATAAACAGTAGTTAGGGACAACTAATGAAATCTGTTTTCATAACGGCAATAACGTCTCCTTGAGGGTAAGTCAAAAAATCTTGGTCCTTCTGTGTGCCATACACTATGAGCCTATATAAGTCAGCAGACATTGACTGTAAATGTGTCCTCCAAGCACACATACAAAGCAGCTACCTCTGGAGTGCTCAGCTGTCCCATAAATCTCAGGGATCATTGCTGGGCCTAGCCAGTCTTGAGGCTTCAGAACAAACAAGAATCCCTGTTACAGTAAGCAGAGCACTGACAACTCGAAGGCTGGAACCAATGCTGCCTACCTGAGATCTCTCTACTTCCCCATATGAAATAGTAGATAGGTTGAAATCAAGATGGTAGAAATTCCACAGCTAGATGAAGGCAGCCTTCATCTCCAGCCCCTAGTTGTGCAGGCTTTTGTCCCAGCCCAGTACCTACCAACACACCTGAACTAATTGAACTAATCTGGATTAATTGAATCAGGTGTGTTAGTGCTTTGCTGGAACAAAAGCCTGCACTGACATAGCCCTCCAGGACTGGAGTTGGAGACCCCTGCCCTAGGGCTGTAGTCAACACCAAGAACACGAAGCAATTCAGACTGGACTGGAATGACAGTTTATTCACGCAAACCCTGAATTCTGAACAAAGGGAAAATAAAAGGCAACACAGGAAGGAATAAATAAATAGACTGACAAACCCTTTTTCCTTAATGTACAAGTCTATCTACAAAAAGAAGTTGTGTGGATACATTACAGACAGCACAGTACTACACGTGTTCCAGGTCATAGGAGTGGTTTGACTTCTAGAACAAGCCTTTTCAGTTTCACAGTTAGAGGTTAACTATTGTCGTATATGATGAATGGTGGCCATTATCGCTGTCAACAAAAAGTCCGTTATGCTGCATCGTGTCAGAAGTTTTTATTCATACCACGAGGTTACAGCATAAATTACAGACACGCGTTGCCTGGAGAACGACTCCCCAGATTGCTATGGTCGTTCTGCCGTCTAATCGTTTACCCCCTATTTATAAACAATGCAAAGGGAGGGGCTACTCCCTTCTTCTGGCCAATCACCAGTCTCCCCTCGGGCGTCACCCTCCAAGCGGCACATTTCAAATAACATCATAAAACATCCCCCCTTTGGCCTGAACAACCAACATTCCATTTCGTCATGAAAAACATTTAACAAAGGCATAATCTTCAGATACGATACTATCTTACCCGCAGAGGGCTGGTTTGGGTGTAGTAGGCCTTGGTTCCAGCCAAGCCGTAACATACCTGTTGATCCAACTCGTCAAAAGGTTTGATTGTAGACTGATTGGTAGAATCAGCAGGTGTGTTTGCTTGGCTGGAACAAAAGCATGCACCTTTGTGGATAAGGTTGGCCACATTCATCCAGCATTTCCCTTCAATAGGTGCATCTCAATATCAGACTGCAGCTGGAGGAGTTCGACAAGTCTAAAAATGATTCCTTTCCTTGTCTCCATTCCTTAATCTGCACTGACAGAACTGAGCTGGTTAGAGTAGATATCTCATATGCATCCACCGTAATGCTTCCTCCTTTCCTATATTTTTTAGTGCAGATAAAAGGAGAGGAGATAAGAGTTAGTCTCTGACTAGTGAGGTGCACCCAACTTCTCCATGATAAATATTGATTTATTGAAATATACAAGTACAGAATTTACAGCGGAATCATCTCTGAAGCGTAAGCAATTATTGTAACCCATAATTTGTATACTCTTGTCAAAATACTCTTATAGGCCTCTATCCTTGTCCCTTCTCTTTGTGATAACATATGTAGTCAATTGCACAGCACGTTTTATGGGCTGCTGGCCCAGTTAAGGGCATAATGTACTAGAGTAGGGCTCACACACCCAGAACCTCCAACAACTTTATGGGTACCTTTCTGACCACTGGTTGGTCCTCTGTGTATCCTTCTTATTGGTTAAAGCATCAGAGTATGTGGGCCCTACTTTGCTACATCCCCTTTTCTGATCTGAAAGGACTGGATAATGTGTGACCCACTATGAGCTTAATAACCAAAACTCTAAACAACGTCCACACAGGTGTCGTAAACGATGATTTCATCCAACAATGTTTCCCTCTCGACTCATATTGTTCTACTCACACGGCAACATAGTTAGTCAATGGCAATATCGCTATCATCATGCGATTAGCTAGCTACTCTTCCAATGCTCACAGAGTGGGTAACAAAAGCAACATGGTGGCAATCCACCTAGCCTAAACCTTTTATCCAGTCCTTTCAGATTCACCAGTGGTCTTGAACATTATGACTATGAGAAGAGGTCATTAAGTGTTGGGACACAACGATGAACTCATTCCTTTATCTCCCTCCGGTTCCTCTTGGTCAGTAGGTCTTGGTGTTCAATATTGCTGCTGTGTGGTTGGGTGTAGGAACTGTCGGTGTCACTGTGCGAGTCGCTGTCTGGAAAAAGTACATCTGAAAGATAGCATATAGGGACAGAAGAGATGGGTATAAAGGGTTAGAAACAACATGATTTAACAAAGAACTATGAGGTTTATAGCTAGCCATAGACTATGGAGTAGGGTGTAGGAGATGAGACATTTCCCCTGAGGCTCATACAGCTGAGACATTCCCATTTAGATTATGGTTAGGGCCTGGTTCAAACATCTTTAAAGTCCATCCTTCCACGGATAAGTGAAATGAGGGCTCTACTTTCTACATTCATGTCGGACCATGACTGCTGCAATGCTACTTTAAAAATAGTTCAACAGGGCCTAGGATGATGGTGCTAGGTAACTTTTACCCATAGCACTCTTATCGTGGGCTCTTACCTTGCAGCCAATTGCTAGCAGCGCATGGAGAACGACGATTGTTGCCACGGTGGTGAAAGCAGTCACCTTGGTGTCGTCGCGGACGACAGGCCAGAAGGTGAGCACCAGGAACGACCCGGAGATCACCATGGCGACCAGGATGAGGAGCCATCTGAGCCACTCGAATGGTAAGATCCACAACACCTGAGAGGGAGGTGATTGGTTTGTTACTTGAGAATAAAATGTTCTGTATTAATTGGTTGGTATTGGGTCCCAATCAGATAGAAATATACTATGAAGAACAGGGTCGTATTCACTAGGCACAAAAACAGAAGAAAACAATGAAACCGGGGAGGTCGGTACCATCTGAACCTCATTTTCCATTGCGAAACATTTTGCTTGGGGATTAATATGTTTTGCTAGCTGAATATGACCCAGACATTCAGTAGTGTGTCTGCTGACTCACCGAGGTGGGAATGTAGATGAAGAGGGAGTAGCCGTAGACACACACTGTCTCCAGGAAGGAGTAACAACTCTGCTGCCTCTCCTCCCTCTGCCTCCAGGTCAGGAAACCCCATACGCCCAGGGGCACCAGCCAGGCATACAGGAAGATCACTACCTGCAGCTATCGTCACTGAGGGAGCGAGAAAAAGCAAGCAACATCAACACTGCTATTGCATCTAATATAACATGGTCTTGAAAAAGGCCTCTGTTCTGAAACATAAAGATAACAGTCAACAATCCCCTCTTTTTTTTTATATATAGCAAATCTCACATGAAACCACTGAGAAGGAGCCAAGTTGTAACCCCCAGGTACCATACCTCTGTGGAACTGGGGTCTGTAGTGGTACTGAGGGTCCCCCAGGTAGTTGAGGAAGGTGGACAGGTTTCCACTGATGGCCACAGAGAACACCAGTGTCACGCAGATCCAGAAGGGACCTGGACATACAGGGGACCAGGAGGTAAGGTTAGTCTGGGTAGAGGTGGTTCGCATCACAATCTAAGATATGCAGAGTTTGCCAAACTGTCTTCCAGTTTGATGACAATAAAAGTTATGATCGTAACATTCTAATGTGCATTCTAACTATCTAGGAACAATTGTTTCCCATTACCGTATAAATCCGGACTCGACCGGAGGGTATGTTTGATGAAGTTCCGTCCTGGTAAAGGCATCACCGACCCCTTGACCCTGTCCAGCACCTGCATGACATGACAGGAAGTCAGTCAACCAATGGAATCTGTACAGCAACTATCTCCATTCTCCACCAATAGAATCACCACTACATTGTAGGTTTCTATATGGGAGATGCTAAACAGCAACATACAGGCCAGTCTCATGAGTGCAGATTATACTGTGTTATTTCAAGCATATTGTACCTGCATTGTATCCACATCGAAGAATGACTGGTAGTACTCAAAGGTCCAGAAGCTGCTAGTTTCTTTCTCCCCTCCTAGGAGCTGTAAACAGTAATGACATTCAGTAATCACCATATTGCTTGGTTTTGGGCTGTTTGTGTAGACGTCATTACAAAGGCAAAATTGCAGATTATCAATGCCGCGATATGATTGGCCTCGTTCATCATCCTGACCTCTGAACTCTCCTCCTGTCCCTCATCATCGGACATGTCCAGTTTGATGTCCCCTGTGGCGCTGGCCGGGGCCGTACTGCTGGAGCCAGACATACTGAGGGTGGAGGCCCCAGGGTCTGCTAACAGCAGGTCAGTGGCCTCCTCAAATTCTAGAGGAGGAGAAGACAGAGGAGGTTAGTTGGAGGGAGGGACAGAGAGAGGAGGAGTGGGACAGTGGCAGTGAGAGATGTAGAGAGAAAGAGAGGGGAAGAGGTGGTGAAAGAGAGGATAAACAAGACAGAAAGATAAATAACAGCTACGGAGGAGAGGAACGGGAGACAGAAAGGAAGGGGATGATGAACATGAAACAGAGACAGCTCTAGGAGAGGATAAACAGAGAGAGGAGGATGGGAGCCACTCCATGAGCCTCACCTTGGAACTTCAGATCATCTGGACTCGCCATGGTAACTCTGGAAAGATGACCACCTCACGCAAGACCTGGAAGGAGACGAGAAAGTGTACTCTTATCTTTTGAGTCTGACGTATGGCCACAGTCTGTGTTCCTCTCCCAGAGAGCTGAGGCAGCTAGGTTTCGCTACATCTGGACAAGATGTTCTCTCTTTGTTGGCTGCCTTCAAAAGCATGTAAGTAACAGCATCATGTGTAGGCATGCGACATCGAATATGCATGTGCAACTTTTTAATTACAAATGACAGATTGTGTTGATCTGTTTGGCAGGCTAGCAGTCTGTGTATGTCATGTTTATGCCTATAGTTTACTGTGACTCTAACTTGCTAACTAGCTTCAGATCTATTGTCATACGTCGGCCCTCGTGGTCGTGATCGGAGACATACCTGTTTGTCGCAGGGGCTTCTGTTGTATCCGCAATGCGAGCCAGTCAGCTTGCAGTGCTGACACGACCACCTCGCTAGCCTGACAGCTGTCGAGCTATCACTGTTTTCTCGCGTCTTTATATCTCAATATCAACTCACCTAACAACAACAGCACATACTGCGTTGGATGTCTGAAGAAGTTAGCTAGCTAATGCTGTTAATTTCAACTATTGTGCGCTAAATTCCAATTATCACTCCCCTGTTCCACGTCACCGTATGTACACAACGGATCCTGCGTTGGCTCAAGACGGATCATCATGTTCACGTGACCAGGTATAGCCGTAAGATAATGTGGTGCGCCAAATGTGATGGGAAATATTTATTTTCAGAGTGTTTTCTTTGTAATATGTGTGTTATCCGAATGTAAAAAACAACAACATTTGTACTTACATATTTATCAGTTTATAATGATATTACAGGCATTTAATGACATTAATTTAAGCGGAACTCGATATTGGATATTTGTTTCCTTACGGAAAAATTATAATAATACAACTTTTCACTGACGTGCCATTTTGGCTGAATAAATTCAAATTGCGTCTTTTCACATTGGAAATAACTGCATCAAGAGGACCGCTGTGTTTTTCCGGTCCGAGCCAGTCCGAATTTGAACTTCCGGAACGATCCGCTTCTGTCTGACGAACATGGCTGCCTCGTGGGTGCTCAGGAGATGGTGCACCACCTCTGTAGCAGCAGCAGCAGCACCCATTAAGGGCACCCGATGGGAGAGGTTGAAAAATAGCAAATTGGGTAAGAAATCTATCTATCTCTTGGTTGCCATGTTAGCCCACCACGCCTTTACGAACCTGAACTAACTCATGATCTTCTTGCTTAGCTAACTGTCTTGCCAAAGTCATTCATGATGTTAGCAGATTGTGTGACATTAGCTTCAAACATACTGTATCACGTTGTGGCTTTTACAGTAGTTAGATTTGAAAATGTACTTCATACACTTCTATGTAAAGGCATTGCTAGCTTTTGATCCTCCACAGTTGCCCCTGCTTGCAATCACAGGGTGGAGGAAGGCACGTGACTGAGGTTATTGCTGTGACCTCTCTCTGAGACAACCCCTGTCAGCTTGGAGATGGAAGATGCAATACCAATACAATTGAGTGTTGGCACACAAAACATAACTGTGTGCATGCCTCATTACCATGTCTAAGAATGTTGTCTGTTCTGCCTTTGTTTTAGTAAACCACCTATCTTATCTCATGTGAATGCTGTCTGTCTCTCACAATTCTCTCCCCTCTCCATCAGGTGTGTGGTTCAGCGGCATGTCCAGAGACTACAAGGAGGCGTGTCGTGAGATTGTGGTGGGTGCGTGGGAGAGGCCAATCAAAGCTTCCCTCTATCTGGGCCTCCTTGGTGGAGCCGGCGCCTGCATCTACACCAACCCAGACGACGCCTCCTTCGAGACCACCGTCCTGGATATGGCCAATCAGCTCGGCCTCCTGACACCGTGGATACGCAGTGGGACGTCGGATGGGCACGTGCAGAAGCTGGCGAAGCTTCGTAACGAGGGCAGGTTACGTCACCTCAGCCTGGGCATGGTCTCACTCACCTACTTTGCCGACTACAACCCGGACGCCAGCCTCTACGAGGCCCAGTGCTCCAAACTCTCTGTCCCCTGGAGGGAGCTCCACACGCGGGTACTGGATGTGGGCTTTGCGGGCCGCTGGTGGATCCTGGACCATAAGATGAAGGACTATGATGTGAACGACGAAGAGTTCAAGCACCTGCCGCCCGCGATGGCCGCCACAGTGCCCCCTGGTGTCCAGGGGGTGGAGAAGAACGAGAGGCTGCACAAAGAGTCATGGATGCCCCTGAAGACGGAGGAGGACGAGGAGAAGGAAAAGGCATCCGCAGCCACAGAGGAGGAGGGAGGCATTGTAGAACAGATAAAGATGGGCAGTTTAGATCTTGTAGAAAAAGTAAAGATGGGCAGTGGAGATCTTGTTGAAACAATCAAAATAAAGACAGGCATTGTAGCTCAACCACAGGAGCTACCTGACCCAGAACCACAGGAGCTGACACTGACAAAGACTGAGACGGCGACACAGGAGTAGCAGACACAAGCTCAAGCAAAGGCCTAATGTGTCATGGACCAATGGACTCACACTAGCAGGACAATGATTGGCGGACACAGTATCAGGTCAAGGTCATGATTGGCAGACATAATGAGATGGCTGAACAAGAATCTCTGAATGGATATATTTATTAGATTTTGACAAGATGGTATGCGAGAGGTGTAAAGTGTGTATATGAGTAACTGCTGCACTGTGTAACGTGTTATATAGCGCCCAAGCCTATTAACACTGTGGACTATAGCCACACATGACATGATGATAAAGGGTCTCCTTTATTAAATATATTACTGTTAACAGTTTACTAATGATACTTATTTGATATATAGTGCTCTGTACAGAGATATTTTATGCCATGGTCAGCAACCTGTTAAAGAGATTCTCTAAACAGACACTACAAACTTCAACTAACTTAAGAGGATTCTCCGGTACTTTTTATATTATTTTTAGCCAGTAGTTCTGAAAGTAGTGCTCACGAGACAAAAGTGGTCCCCGAAAATTGTGTACTACGTCACATATGTGCAGATATGTGCACCATGTCATTGCGCTCTCTCTCTCGCTCTGCTGTGTGTGCATCTTGCTAGCTGTCACTCAAATGGCGAGGGGCTGAAGCTCATTAGCTAGAACTCAAATTGTTAGGACGCTGGCCCACATGGGGGAAAATGTAGGGAAAATGGCACTGCACAGCTTCCAGAAAAAGGGATTTCGTGGCTAATTGAGGTGAAACAGTAATTCTGCTCATAGATTATGCATGTATGAACTACACATTGACACATCCAGCCCAAAGCGGGAGGTTTCAAAAAACACTTAGAAGTCGCCAAAGTTCCAGAGCATGTCTTTAACAATATGCCTCCTCTAAATGGTCTGGATTTATCATTTATGAAGTATTGTCAAATTAAAGTACTATTGCAATGAACTTGTGAGTTTTGTGATGATAATTTACTCTGAATGCCTCCCCATGATTTAATCTTAGGCAGGAAGCAGAGGCACTATCCAGGGAAGAATATACCAAGATATTCAATTTAAGTTGAACTGGTAGCCATTTTTTATTCTTCCAGTCCAGACTGTTTTTCAATACTTTCCTCCTCAGACTATTGTGACCGTAGCGTGGATCGATAATTCTCATTGTGTGACTTCTTCCATAAACTGTGAGTGTTTGTCTCCATGAGTTAAGTCAGTGTTTTTGCCGCCTCCTCTTCCTGGGATTATAGAAGCTGTGTATTGCTGTGCTGCCCATCAGGCAGATAGGATTCCCATTCTTTCTTCCTAACTAATTATTCTGTTAATCGCATTGCCTTTGACCGACCTCCCTTATCATTGTGGAGCTTAACTAATTTTGTGGAAAAATCCTCTCCAGATGAATCGCTCTCATACCCTTCTCTCTCACGGCATCTCTCTTCCGCCTCTGTTCATGTCTGTTTTGATCCTGCTGTTGTCTTGACACTGAAGCTGCTTTGGCTCCAGTTGCTGATCGCTATCTGATCTTTAGGACAGGATCATTCATCCTGATCAGGGGCCATTCACACTAGGACAGGGAGATATTGAGGTCTGCAACACTAGTCAAGATGGATTAGTAGTCTCACACTCAAACAGAACTAGACTCTCAAACAGGTCTAGCCATATACACATAGCCTACATCTCACTCAGCGCATGCCAGATGTGCGTGATATATCTGAACAGCTCAGCAACATTATTGCATCTGGGTGATGGCTACTTGCAAATCCTCAGAAAAACATACACACTAACAATGGCAGCAGTTATCAGAGTCAGAGTTGCAGCAGGTGACTGAGGGCCTCTGACTGCCCTGAGGCTGAGTCCTGGGTGGGGGTCCATGGAAGATAACCTGGCCCCCCTGTGGATCTCCACCCCAGGGGATCAGATTCTTCGTAACCCAACCCCAGGATGGAACCAAAGACTGACCTTAATGGGGTCAAAGGTGAAACAATTATGTCATTCACAAACCACTGGGGAGGATGGTCGGATGTCACTGGATCAAAACTGCTTTAGTTGAAGGATGAATACTTAATGGTTCAAAACCCCTTGTCAAATCTAATGCTCATGAATAATACAAATTATTCAAACCAAACGGTCTTGTTTTGGGATGGATGCAGGTACGCATACACTGTTTAGGTGTGTCAAGTCCATAGAACTAGAATGAGATTCTATTTCTATGGTCAAGTCAATATAGGCAGTGATAATACCAGTCTACAATCTCTTTCTAAGACATAAACGGGGGTAAGAACATGCACGAAATGTATTCAAACTGAATCATCCATCACCAATCTATTCTCTTACATCCTTCCCACCCAGCTGTCTCTCACTCCCATTTCCCTTCTGTCTCCTTTCCCCTCCTCTCATCCTTCCCCTATGCCCACTTTTGACCATGACTCCCAGCCCCATCCCCCTCTCCATTGACTGCTGATTGTCATTCTCTCTACCAGAGGGGTCAGTGTGGTCATTGTCAGTTTGTGTGGTCTGTCAGCAGATGACCACTGCTGGTCAATCAGGCTGGTCTCATAGACTAGACATAACATAGTAAACAAAAATCCGGGACACTCAAATTAGTATGATATGTTACGTTTGGTATGGTTACAAAAGCCAAAAGGAGGGTGGATGGGTGGGCGTATAACACGAGTGTCTAGCAACCCAAAGGTTGCATGCTCGAATCTCATTAGGATAACTTTAGCATTTTAGCTAATTAGCAACTTTCAAATACTCAGTAGCGGTGCGTGGGTAAAATCACTGGGGAAGACAGAAAAACAAGCCATATTACAACTTATGTGTTGTGATAATTGTGTTGTTTGCTCTATAACAGGGGTGTCAAACGTCCGGCCCGCGGGCCGGATCAGGCCCGCAAACGGGTTTAATCCGGCCCGCGAGATGATTTTAAAAAAAAGAAGAAAAAAAAAATAAAGTAAAGTTTGTAAAGTGTAAAAATGCGCTGCAATTTTTCAATAAAATAAACTGCTGTTCCAATTGCATCCACTGGATGGCGCAATAGCAATTGTGATAAGCAAGCAAACTGTTTATACCGGGGCAGAGCAAGTAGGTCAAGCACGTGCAGCCAATGAGCTACTTTGTTTTGCCCGCGATATTTATTACGGCTTCTACTTTTAACATTATGTGCTTTGGCACCCTCATTGCCCCAATATGTCTCTGTCAAAAAAGAGAAAAGTGGACGCAGAGTGCAGAGTGTTCCAAGAAAAATGGTCATCCTATTTATTCATGGGATTGATTGGGAAAGCTGTATGTTTGGTGTGTTCAGAGCATGTTGCAGTGCTGAAAGAATATAACCTTCGTCGCCACTATGTGAGTCTTCATGCCGACAAATATGACAACATTCAAGGACAGCGGAGATGAGAGAAGGTGAATGAACTGTTGGCGGGTCTGAAGAAACAGCAGTCTGTGTTTACTCACAGCCGAGACATCAGTGACGCTGCAGTGAAAGCTAGCTACCTCATTGCTAATGAAATCGCAGTGGCTTCAAAACCATTTAGTGAGGGTGAATTTGTAAAAACATGCATGATGAAGGCAGCGGAGATTGTGTGCCCTGAAAAGCGGCAGGCTTTTGCAAATATCAGCCTGACAAGAAACACAGTTGCAGACAGGATTTCCGATCTTTCAGTGGATTTGGACAGCCAGTTGAAGCAAAAAGTAAAGTCATTTATTGCGTTTTCGGTTGCAATTGATGAAAGCACGGACATTACAGATGTTGCACAACTGGCCATTTTCATGCAGCTGATATTTTTACCGCACTCGTCGGCGCGCTGGACAGGGTCGGAGTGGACTGGTCCCGCGCTGTCAGCCTGGCTACAGATGGTGCAGAGCACCTGAATAACATTTACATTTACATTTTAGTCATTTAGCAGACGCTCTTATCCAGAGCGACTTACAGGAGCAATTAGGGTTAAGTGCCTTGCTTAAGGGCACATCGACAACTTGAACAAACAGCTGCAAGGGCGCAACAAAGTTGTCACGCAGTATTATGACAGCATACGTTCTTTCAAGTTGAAGCTGTCATTGTGGGAGACGCAACTTGCCGGTGGTGATGCAGCTCACTTCCCCTGTCTGAAAAATGTGTGCGCGACCCAACATGTGGCAGACATGAAGCGGTTCAAAGATAAAATAACGGGACTGTTACGGGAGTTTGAGCAACGCTTTCAGATTTATGTTTATATGTTTTTATGTTGATGTGCTATTGTTTTTAATTGATTTTATTTTATTTGTATATTTAACCTATTCTTGACTCTGTGGTTCTTGCACTTGTTTGGGGAACAGGATTTCATTATTTGTATCTGCATTTCTGCCTGAGAAATGACACCCTGATATAGTTCTGTGATCTGTGATATACTTCTGTGAATCACTGAGGCATTGTGTGTTTGTGTGTTCTTTGTCCTCAGAACTTTCAAATAACTTGAGGTGTTTTATGATTAATAGTGATGTTGTGCTTTTGGACACTGTCCTCAGGCTCCAGCTTTATGTTTATATGTTTTTATGTTGATGTGCTATTGTTTTTAATTGTTTTTATTTTATTTGTATATTTAACCTATTCTTGACTCTGTGGTTCTTGCACTTGTTTGGGGAACAGGATTTCATAATTTTTATCTACATTTCTGCCTGAGAAATGACACCCTGATATAGTTCTGTGATCTGTGATATACTTCTGTGAATCACTGAGGCATTGTGTGTTTGTGTGTTCTTTGTCCTCAGAACTTTCAAATAACTTGAGGTGTTTTATGATTAATAGTGATGTTGTGCTTTTGGACACTGTCCTCAGGCTCCAGCTTTATGTTTATATGTTTTTATGTTGATGTGCTATTGTTTTTAATTGTTTTTATTTTATTTGTATATTTAACCTATTCTTGACTCTGTGGTTCTTGCACTTGTTTGGGGAACAGGATTTCATTATTTTTATCTACATTTCTGCCTGAGAAATGACACCCTGATATAGTTCTGTGATCTGTGAAACAGTTCTGTTAATCACTGAGGCATTGTGTGTTTGTGTGTTCTTTTTCTTTAGAATTTTCAAATAAACTTGACGTGTTTTATGATTAATAGTGATGTTGTGCTTGTACTATTTTGGACACACTGTCCTCAGGCTCCAGCTTTATGTTGTATGTTGATCGTATTAAAACAAAGAAAACAATCTGAAGTTGTTGTTTTTAAGTTATATATATACCATGATTTTTCCGGTCCGGCCCACTTGGGAATAGATTTTCCTCCATGTGGCCCCTGAGCTAAAATGAGTTTGACACCCCTGCTTTATAACCTGTAGTTCATATGCCTTGCGACCGTGATATATAGGCTTAAAGGCCGAGACAATAAGAAGACACAGTGGCAGAATAAATTCAACCACACCTTTGTTTCATCACAAAACCAGATAGCAACTTCTGTCCGGTGAAGTCCATAAAGCATAGGCCTTATTGCATGTAACAAACAGTTACATGACCTACAGCATGGTCAAGCA